CACCCACTTATACATAAGTGGAGGTTTAAGTCCCATAGCTATGCTATAGTTATCCTATATAATTTATACACCCTTATAACTACACATGGACCTCCAGGTAAGGTTGAGTTGCACGAGGTGTCCTAACCCTAAGTCCTAAACCCCCTAAACCATGTAGCATTTGGGGCAGTAGCAGGGCGTCTTTTCCAACGTGCTCCAGCGATTTCTCCATGTAAGCCATGATCCGGCACTATGGTCCTTTTTCAAAGCTCTGGGTTTGAGGCTTAGGGATTAAATCAATACAGGGGCCTTAATAAATCGAATAAGGTTTTGGGGCCCACTATACTATAATTATGATAAGGAGCCCCCAAACTAATATAGGTAATTATTCAGGCCCCCACACATTATAGAGGCTTTGGAACCAGGATTCGGATTTAAGGTTCATGGTTTCAGGCACTGTGAAGCACCCATTATCGACCTTCAGAGTTACGACCTACCGCTTACCAAAAGGGTTTAGGGTTTAGGGTTTAGGGTTTAGGGTAGGGTGTACAACAGGAAAGCTACTGCAAATTTGTTTGGCCGTGTATCAGCAAATTGCCATAACGTGTATACTGAGCTTCCCTCGCCCCTCGCCTTCAATATTGAAAACCTTCAACCCCAACCCCAAACCCTAAAACCATAAACCCTAAATCCTAGACCGTAGTCAACTTGTTCTCCATGCTCTCATGTTAGGTCCGAAACCGGTATATATGTTACGACCGCAGGAAAGCAGTGCAGTGTACGGTTTCAAGCTTAGGTCAATATTTCAGGGTTAAGTTGTAAAAGGAGCTTCAGGTGTAGAATGTTGAAGATAATAAGCTGTGTGGGGGAGATTTCACGTCACCGATCCGGATCCATCGCAGAAGCGAATTTCGAAGGTGAGAAACATCCCACGAGCAGAGATGCTGGCATGTCCTGACAATGCGTGGACCGTCACCTCATACACCTGAAAACTTAGCCGCAATCCGCAAACCTTAAAACCCGCAATCCCTTAACCTTACACCTTCAACTCTAAATCGCCAAACCCGGAACTCCAAACCACAGCGATAGCCCCCAGACGGGGTTTAGGGCCGTGGCTTCAAGTTTAGGATTTCGGTGTACCCAAACCCCGGAGGCCACACACACACACACACAGAGACACACACACACACACACACACACACACACACACACTCACTACGTGCACGCAACCCGATAACAGCAGGTATTAGAGCGATTCTCAAGGGAAATGGGTTTAGGTTTTAGGGCTGAGGGCTTAAGGTTTAGGGTCTAGGCTCGGAAAGTTGTAGTTGCGGGGTCTAGGTCAGCTGTCTAACCTTCAACTCGACGCGTGAAAAGTGAGTTGGAAAACCAACCAGGCGACACCGTTGAATCTTCAATGACAACCCTCACAAAGCCCCAACCTCTCCTTACCTTTGGTTAGTAGGGAATGGAGGAATGGGGTACAATTATAACTACTATTACTACCATTCTTCCATTCCCTACTAGCCAAAGGTAAGTCTCGATGCACTGGAAGACCAAACTGGAACACCCTACGCCCGAAACCCTAAACAAACCTGAAATCAACGCGCAGCATGGCCACCACTCTGCACTCAGCAGTGCGAGCTCCCAAGCAGAACAACGGTTTAGAGTTTAGGGGTTTAGGGTTTAGGGGTTTAGGCTTTACGGGTTTAGGTTTACGGCCGGTTGGGGGCTGTAGATTAGAAGGCTCTCGGGCAAGCTTGGGTTTGAGGGTAAGTCCAAAGCATTGCCTAAACACAAGGACCTTGTGATTCCCATAAAACCAAATGCCGGCCTTACAAAACCGGGACCCGAAAAGATTGGGTCATTTGGACGGTTAGCCCCTGAACACTATGCCCTACAGCGCTTAAAGATCTCGTATAGGCCCAATAAAGGCAATCTTGCAAGAACCCTTGCAGAAACCCTTGCAGGAACCCTTCCAAGAACCCTTGAAGGAGCCTTGAAGGAATCCGCCAAAGAACTGTAAAGGAACCAGCCCAGGACCCCTGAAAGGAACCTGCAAAGCACTCCTTAAAGAACCCCTTACCAGAACCCTGAAAGGAGCCCTTAGAGGAAGTCTTCGCGGAACACTTACATGAACACGTCAAGGAAGCCTTCAAACACAAGGGGAGATGTTAGCATCTTTTGGTCCCGAAAACCTAAACCCCAAACCCTAAACCCTAAACCCCTAAACCCTAAACCCCTAAACCCTAAACCCTAACCCCTAAACCCCTAAACCCTAAACCCTACCCCCTAAACCCTAACCCCTAAACCCTAAACGTTAAACCCCTAAACCCTAAACCGGTTCGTGGCCAGAGGAACGGTTGATGACCTAAATCCTGCATTACCCATAATAAGGAATATAGCATCATTCCTATATCTTAGGTTCCTTAAGGCAATGCACGATTTATATGGGTGGATGTCAAAATTATGATCCCGGTTTTGGGAACCCTAAATATTAGGTGCCGTACTATATTAGGGACCCAAAAAGGGACCATAATTTGGACAACCACCCTTTTGAATTTATGAGTCCTTAGAGCCTTAAACCCTATAGATCCCTTATAGGACCCCTTATAGATCCCTTTTAGGAGTCATTAGAGCCTAGGTAATGCACCATTTATATCATCAACAGAAGGAAGGTTGCTCTGAAGGCGCTCGCGCCTCAGCGCTTCTGCGAGTCCCAATCAGTCTGTCGAACCCACAAGCAAGGGCTCAGAGGCTTAGGGTTTTAAGGGTTCGGGGTTTAGGGGATATAGGGTATAGGATTTAAGGGTTTAGGGCTCAGAGGCTTAAGGTTTCGGGTTGAGGGTTTAGGGTTTTTGGTTAGGGGTTTCGGGACTATGGTTTTAGGGCTTATGGTTTAGGATTCTGGGTTTAGGGTTTGGGGTTTGTGGCTAGGGCCAGGGGTCAGGGATTGGAGTTTAGGGTCTCGGACTAGGATAGAGCAAGTGAGGCTTGCAATACAGAGTTTGGCCTGAGACGGATGACCTCCAAATCGTGCTGGTTGGGTGGGAAGAGCCGGGATGAGAGGCATAGTGACGAAATCCATCAAAATAAATCCCTAAACCCTGCACCCTCATATAATTTGACAAACTCATCAAAACAAAACCCTAAACCCTAAACCCTCATGGTCTCGGCTGGGACTTGGCTGACTTCTTAGCCCATTCGGATTAAAATTAAAGAAGACAGGAACCAGCGTCTATCGAGGTGCATGTCAGCCTGCTGATGACTACAGCTAACCTACTTATAGACCCCTAATATAGGAACCCGATGAAGACACAAAGAGTCTTTAATCTATTGGGGCTATAAGTCTAGGATTTCTTAGTCAGGCTCCTACAGCAAACCCCAACCGAATACCGTTTCATGCCTCGAGTTCCCAGCGCTACTGCCTTGATGCTATATAGGACATATACTAACCAATGGTTTTGGGGCTCTCTGCGCTCTTCAGCTCCTTATTCAATAGGGATTATCATCATCCTTGGCTCCTTAGCTCCTCCGATATCAAAAGTTAGTAGAAGTTATAAGAAGTAGGATTAGGGGGACCCTTGCTGATTTAGACCCTCTGAAGAAGGGCCCTCTTTTAAGAGGGCCAGAACTAGGACTAAGAAGGGTGCCCCCTGTAAGGGGCCTCCCTAGTACTACCCAGGACTATAGTTATGGCACTGTAAGGGGACCAAGGGGAGTGCAGAAGGGACTCACTTCACGTCTCATGTCCCGTCTGAAAGCTGGTGACCCATCCGGTCTCCTTTGCTTCTTTCGGGTTTATTTTGGTTTTAGGGTTTAGGGTTCAGGGGTTTGGGGCTTAGGGGTTCAGAGCTTAGGGTTTAGGGTGCTATCTACTTCCTGCGCATGTAAGGTTGAGGTTGAGCTGCGAGGATCCTGGAGCATGTAAGGTTTAGGGTTTAGGGTTTAGGGTTTAGGGGTTGATGATACAAATCCTGCATTACCCATAATAAGGAATATACTGTAATTCCCATAATGTAGTGCCATTAAGGTAATGCCGGATGTTTATCATCAACAGTAGGTCTCGGTTTCAACGATCCCAAGGCCTTACATTAAGCAAGATGGGAAATCAAAAATTATCCAAAGTCGACATCTAGTAAAGGAGACGAGATGAATGGCTCATTGTCTACGAGCTTGCTGGATCGTGCATCTTTAGCCGTCACCACAAGCAGGTCGTTGCAGTCTACTGTTTGAAGCCACTGTGGGATGACCAGCGGGCCCCAACGGAGGGGTATAAGTCCCCTAACATAGGTTTAGGGTTTAGGGTTTATATAGGGTTTAGGGTTTAGGGTTTAGGGTTTAGGGTTTAAGGCTTAGGGTTTAGGGTTTATATAGGGTTTAGGGTTTAGGGTTATAACTGTAGTTATCCTACGTATAACCCTACTTTACAACTACAGTACCCATGAGGCTCCAAGTAGGCTTAACATAGCCAGGAGCTGAAACTAGCGGTGCTTGTCTTGGGGGGTCTTTATGACGAGGATCTTACAACCAATTTGGGCCCCTGATTTTCCGAATCCTCACGCTAGGATAGGGCAGCCAAACAGCAGTGGAACAATAGAACACCCGAATCCGAGATCGCCAGCAAACTCATACAGCCGGTACAGCAACTATGCGGGTATCTAGGGCAACCAGGTTTGCAGTGCAAGACCCTAGCAATGATGTAACATTACCATGGCGCGATCGAGCAATGAAGTTTAGCTTCCTGTAGATTCTAACAGGGACATCCCTGTGACACGAAGTTTAAACAGCTCCCTATATCCAAATGCCAGAGCCAGTCATTGTTCCCATCCCTTAAAGGAAGGTATATAGAGCATCCCAGCATTCATTACTCATGCATCGGCCGTAATAATTGGAATATGGTTTGGGGGAACATACGACTAGCAGCAGGAACTACAAGGAAACAATATTGCAATTTGTTTTTGTCCTATATATTGCCCATGTTCCAAGCTTTTGTATAGGGCCCATGGCTCCCTCTCGTCTCAGAGAAGGTTAGCTCCAAGGACGTAAAGGACCCATGCGTAAGGGTTGTAAGCCGATGTTGGCGTGTCCATCACCTTCTTGGTGAGCCTTAGCAGCAAGATTTGGACTCAAAGGCTTGTGCCAGGTTTCGGGGTTACGGATTTCGTATTCAGGATTTAAGGGACCTTTCGGCGTCTACATCTAACAGCTTGCTTGTTTCGTAAGGTAGCACTGCGACATGGAGCAGAATCTAGAACAGCTCCCATGAAACAGGATTCTTGATCGAGCTTTGAACTGAGCTCCAGGCCACAGGATGTGTCGCTTTTCGTGTGCGGTATATGCCTAAATGCTTTACTAGGATGCCCAGTAACCTAGTAAAAAAAAGGGCTCCCGTTTTGGTATTAGGCAACTTTATAAGGAACCTAGCACCCTGGAAATCTGGGTTTGCACGCATTTGCACAGACTACTTGGAGGCTCATTGTTAGTTATAAGAGGGGTGATAAGTCCCCGAGTATGGGTTATAACTAATTACAGCTATCCTACATATAACCCTACGTAGAACTACCCATGAACCTCCAAGTAGGGGGATATGACATGATCTCTTCAACCAATATGACAAGCGACTCGCCCGCCCCACTTCCCCTAGACTGCCCACACAAATCGTAAGCACAACCAAGTTAACAACAAAAACTGACACCGTTCTCAACACTCGGGACCCATACCTCTGATTTGTGCATTGCTCCGGGATTTTTTGCGCAGCCACCTTTGATCTAATTAGGTTCGCAGCTCTGTCGTCTCATGAATACTAGTCAAACAGAGCCCTCCACGTCTAGAGCCCGCATGACACTCAGCCACGTGAAAGATGCAATCTTGGAATGCTTGGGGAGAAAAATAGCGCCTGACTGGTCATGCCATTGCCCACAACCAACTTTAGTTTTGGGCAAATTCAGCTTTCTGGGAACTTGTTTCGCCCAGGGGAACCCAGAGAAAAACACATATCAGGGAACCTCTGCAAGGTGTAAGTAAAAGGTATATAGATATGTATATACGTGTTCAAATAAATTCTCTATATATCTATATATGTATGTATATATATATATATATATACATACATACGACAAAAAGACCGAGAGACAGAGAGAGAGAGAGAGAGAGACAGAGAGAGACAGAGAGAGACAGAGAGAGACAGAGAGAGACAGAGAGAGACAGAGAGAGACAGAGAGAGACAGAGAGAGACAGAGAGAGGCAGAGAGAGACAGGAGCGAGAGAGGATGAGAGAGAGAGCGAGAGAGCGAGAGAGCGAAGAGCGAGAGAGCGAGAGCGAGAGGCGAGAGAGAGAGCGCGAGAGCCGAGAGCGCGAGAGCGAGAGGCGAGAGCGCGAGAGCGCGAGAGCGCGAGAGCGCGAGAGAGAGCAGCGCGAGCGCGCGCAGAGCGGAGCGCGCGGAGCGCCAGCGGCGAGAGAGACCAGCGCGCGAGCGAGCGAGATGAGAGACGAGCGAGCGAGGAGAGAGAGAGAGAGAGAGAGAGAGAGAGAGAGAGAGAGAGAGAGAGCGAGAGAGAGCGAGAGCGAGAGCGAGAGAGAGAGAGAGAGAGAGAGAGAGAGAGAGAGAGAGAGAGATAGAGTGAGGAGAGATAGAGAGAGAGAGAGCGACGAGCGAGAGCGCGAGAAAGCGAGAGAAGCGAGCGAGAGCGGAGGAGAGAGGGGGAGGGGGAGAGGTGAGAGAGGGAGAGGACGGGAGAGGGGGAGAGGGGGCGGAGAGGGGGCGGAGAGGGGGCGGAGAGGGGGCGGAGCGGGGCGGAGTGGGGGCGGAGCGGGGGGGAGGCGAGGGGGAGGAGAGGGGGAGGGAGAGGGGGAGCGAGAGGGGGAGGAGAGGGGGAGGAGAGGGGGGAGAGGGGGAGGAGAGGTGGAGGAGAGAGGGAGAGGAGGGAGAGGGGAGAGGGAGAGGGAGGAGGGAGAAGGGAGAAGGGAGAGGGAAAGGGAAAGGGAAAGGGAAAGGGAAAGGGAAAGGGAAGGGGAAAGGGGAAAGGGGAAAGGGGAAAGGGGAAAGGGGAAAGGGGAAAGGGGAAAGGGAAAGGGAAAGGGAAAGGGAAAGGGAAAGGGAAAGGGCAAGGGCAAGGGAAAGGGAAAGGGAAAGGGCAAGGGAAAGGGCAAGGGAAAGGGAAAGGGAAAGGGAAAGGGAAAGAAAAGGGAAAGGGAAAGGGAAAGTGGGGAAAGAGAAAGAGACAGAGAAAGAGAAAGAGAAAGAGACAGAGAGACGGAGAGAGCGAGAGAGCGACAGAGCGAGAGACAGAGACAGAGACAGATATATGATTGAACCTCCGAGGCGATCAGTAACGGCCAGGTTTTTCGGAATGTACCTCTTTCCCTCCGCTCCCGTCCTCTGTGCACAGCTTGGGGCTTGAGGCATCGGGGGACTCATTCTGCAGGGTCGGCTTATGGCTTTCGAGTGCCTCATCGAAGGCTGCAAGACCAAGCATGGAGTCCTAGGATTAGATTAGGTGATTAGGCTCCTATCGCACTCAGAACAGCTATGGCAACCATCACCACAACCCATCACGCTCGTCATGCATGCAAAAGGAAATTGAAAAGCCATGCATGTCATAGCGGTCAAGGTCCGGAACCACAACAGCCATAACAAGGATCATCAGCAAATCATCATCACCGACACCAACATTAATTGATGAGAACTCGGTCTGGTCGAGCAGCGCTTTGTCTTCACTGCTGTCGGGCACAGCATTCGGCTCCGGTAGTGCACCTTGCATTAGTGCGTACAGACTTGAAAGTTCAGGGCTTGAAGTTTGGCAGACCCTCAACCCCAAACCCTACAACCTGAAACCCTACGACCCAAAACCTAAAGGAAACTTGTAGAAACCGTTATAGATGCCTTATAGTATCCCTTAAATTAAAGGAGCCCTCCAAAATCCCTGAAGCTTACGGCTTCAGGCTTACAGGATTTGGCCTCGCGGCTCGGACATACAAGCAATTCGCAGCTTCAAAGGCAGTCTGGAAAGGCGGTGTTCGGAAAGTGAGGTTATGGCTTTCAACCTGCGGGGTTCTACGTTCTGAAGGAAGATATAGGCAAATTGGAGCAAGCACAACGAGGATAGCAATTCACTCTCAGAGAGCTGAAGTGGCTTGCTCCTTCAGGCACAGGACCTAGTTGCGGGTCGAGTATGTGATCTTGAGGCTTAGAAGCTCCGGGTACCGCGCCGGCAGGTCTATTCTTGATCATGAGCTTCGTTCGTAAGGAAGCCCCAGGAATAGTACGACTTATCATTCAGGCCAAGCCTAAACCCTCCCTAGGGTTTAGATTCGGGTTTAGATCGTTTGGGGTTTAGGGTTTAGGACTTAGGAGTTGAAACGCAGTTCGTCAGCCCTCTTGAACGGTAGTCCTTAGCCCCAAACTTCGAGACCCTAAAGCCTGAAACCCTAAACGGCCCTAAACCTTAAACCCTCAACGGCTCTAAACCTCCAACGGCCCTAGGACCTACCTTAATGACCTAATACGGAAATTTGGTGGACCGACCCTAGAAATAAGCGGTGTTTTGGGGTTCCGGGTAAGCCCTAAAACTGGCACTTGAAAAAAAAAGCCCTCTAGGGGCCTGGACCGCTCGACCCCTGAACCGAAAACCCTAAATGTCCCTAAACCCTAAACTCCCAATTTTAGCAACCCTAGAATTTCCCCAAACCCCGGAGCCTGAAACCCCAAACCCAAACCCTTAGACCCTACGCCAGGGCACTTCAAAGGTACTCCTAACCAGTTCGAAACTCTAAAACCCTCAACCCTTAACGGCCCCAAGCCCTCAACGGCCCTAAACCCTTAACGACCCTAGACCCTCGACCCCAAAACACCAGGGCACTTGAAAGTAAGCCCGAACCCCCAAACCCCTAAACCCAAGCCCTAAAACCTATAGAACCCTTAAAGGAACCACCAGGGCACTTGAAAGGTAGTGCATGAGCCGAACGGGCGTGAAGGCTAGCTGGGCAAGGGGCCTCGCGCCGCGGTGGGGCTTAGGGCTTCGGGGGTCTCCTTTAGGATTCCTTTAAGCGTTCCATCAAGGGTTCTATATAAAGGGTTCCTTACATGGTTACTTAAGGTTTGTTTAAGGGTTTAGGGTTTAGGGGTTTGGGGCTTTGGGCTTAGGGTTTTAGGGGGTTAGGGTTTTAGGGTTTCGACGTTTCGGGTTTAAGGTTCAGGTTCAGACTATTTGGCTGAGGCTTTAGGGTTCACGATTGAGTGGGGCCCAGGAGTGACGACGCAGGGCATTGGCTGAAGGATGAGATGTGCATTAAAAGGGGTTAAGGTTGAGTTCTTGGCGGTTCGTAGGTGGATATAAGTGGTCCTTCAGGGTTTAGGGGTTCAGGGTGTAGGAGTTTAGGGTTTCCGGGTCTAGCGTAGGTTCGAGACTGAATGTCACGGTTGGGGCTGGGAGTGTGTTCTGAGCTCCTTCCCTCAGAAGCAATCCTCCCAGAGGTCTGAGTGGGGATTGAGGGCTGAGGGCTCTCGAATTTTGGAATTTGAGGCTTGCGGTTAAAGGCTCTTACAGTTTGGTGGGACTTTGAGTTCAGGGCTTCGGGTTTCGACCTACCTCTCTTTGGAACATCTCGGGAATTAGCAGGTAAGGTTATAAGTTATAAGTGCCTTAGTTGGAGGTAGAAGTAACTATAGCTATAATACTTTGATTATAACAGAACCCTGGTTACTAAGGCCCATGATCCAAGTAAGCCCTAAACCCTAAGCCCTAAATTCAAACCCTGAACCCTAAGCCCCTAAACCCCTAAGCCCTCAACCCCTAAAGCCCTAAACCCTAAAACCCTAAACCAAAACCCGAAGCCCAAAGCCCTAAACCCTAAAACCCTTATATTAACCCTAAACCCTAAAACCCTAAAACCCAAAGCCCCAAACCCTAAGCCCTAAGTCCTAAAACCCTAGAACCCTAAGCCCTAAACCCCTAAAGCCCTAAAGCCCCAAGCTGCCATCGAGGCACTGGATGTTTCTCCATCCCAGGGCAGACACCAGCCGCTGAAAGCCCACGGAGCCCTGTTTGGCTTTGGATCTTTTTTTTGGGGATAGGGTTTATGGCTTTGGGTTTTGTTGGGGTTTAGGGTTTAGGACTTAGGCTTATAGAGTTGAAGGTTTAGGGTTTCGGGTTTAGGGCTTAGGACTTAGGTTTAGGGTTTAGGGTTGAGGGTTCATTCCGGCTCCGTGGATGGAGGGTTCCAAGCTTCTGATCATAGATTCCAGGTTTGCGGCTTTGGCTTCAGCATGCTGATTTCAAAGACTTTCTGAGAGTCTGTCCCTGCCTTGCAGGGTATTCACGGTACTCCTATGGGATCTCGTACCATTTCGTGGGCCTGTGGGTTTCAAGGCTCAGTGATTTTATGGCAAGCTATGTGCCCCTAAACCCAAACCCTAAACACCTAAACCCCTAAACCCTTGAATCCAAAAACCTCCAAGACTCAAAACCCCTAAACCCCTTCCCCTTAAACCCTGAACTTTAAGGGCTTCAGCTTCCCCGCTCTTGCGTGGGATTTACGGTTGAAAGCTCAGCGTAGTTAAACCTTAATCCCCAAAGAACTCCCTTTTTCAGAACATATGTAAGGAAATCACAACAAGAAATAGGTATGCTGCACCCTAAACCCTAAAGATGTCTTAAAGGAACACATATATGGTACGGCTTTAAAGGAACGCCTATAGTACCCCTTACTAACATTACAAACCTTAGGCTCATCCTGGGTACTCGTAGCTTCTCAGAGCTGAGCACAGCGACTCGAAGCACATACTACAAACACACGGCGTCTTATCCTAAAACCCTAAACCCCTAAACCCCTAAACCCTAAAACCCTAAGCCCCTAAACCCCAAACCCTAAAACCCTAAGCCCTAATCCCTAAACCCCGAAAAAACCCTAAACCCTAAACCCCCTAGGCCCACTGGTCCCCAGCTCTTGTTTAGCACTTCGGGCTTGCGGATGGAAGGCTTTGTGGTTCGGGCTTGACGTCGAAGGTTTAGGGCTTCAGGCCGTTAGGTTTTTAAGGTCAGGTCCATGACCCAGACCCCCGATCCAAAAAGTAGATCCCTTAATGAGGGTTCGTATAGGGCCCCAAATTACGGGATCTACCTTCTAGATCCTCCAGGGCGTCTGGGGAGCCTGCCTGGATAGCTTGGGCCTTTGGGTTTGGGATTTGCTCCGAGTGGCGGCGATCAAGGTTGGCAGCGCGTAGCACCTTGCCAGCCAATTGAATTGGGACGGTGCCTCTTTATCTTACGGTGTGTTTCTTGTCCCCTGAGAGCTCAAGCGCTGTTCCACAACAGAGCTCGAAGCATGTAACAAAGATGCTTGCAAGATTGCAAATACTATTCCTCAGGGTTCCTACCAAAACTATACTATAAACTGCGATTACTAGTATTACTTTGTTGTTATTGCTACTTGACTATACCCCAAAACCCGTATTCTAGCTTACATGTTCAGGCTCCTGTAGTAGTTCTGCCGGGCTCTTTTGGGTCTGCCCGTTCGCGTTTGGGCTAGGGGTTTAGAGGTTCAGGGGTTTAGGGATTTAGGGATTTAGGGATTAGGGGTTTAGGGATTTAGGGGTTCAGGGGTTTAGGGGGTGGGAGGGAGTTTAGGAGTCAGGGTTGTTCTTGTCGTTGGGCTTGTGGGCCAACCCTGACGAACTGGAAGCTTAGGGTTTAAGGTTTAGGGTTTAGGGTTTAGGGTTATCATCACCACCACCACCACCAGTGTCGTGTCGACGGCTTCTGCTGCTATCGCTGACCACCAACTCCTCTGCCAAGGATCAGATGAAGGCCATCGCGGGATGCATACACATGTTGGGAGATGTGGGAGTTTCCGAGAATTTGGGTACCTTATTTGGGGTCCTTATAAGAAGGATCCTACTGGTTAGGGTACCATATTAGGGTCCCCTATTTTCGGAAACTCCCATGTGGCTCTCCACCCACTCCCTGGAGGCTTTGCAAGCCCTCAGAAGGCCAACAGCCCAGGATACTGGGCCTTGGTGGCCTCAATGACCGGCTGTCTGATGTCAGCAGTATCCTTGAACCAGTCGCCAGAGGCACGGACTAATAGTGACAACAGGGTTTTGAGGGCTCCTTGTTATAATTATAGTACAATATACCCCCCTATTATAAGTGTAGTGTTATATATATATATATATATATACCCCCCATACCCTGTACCCTATTCTAACTATCAAAGGCCCCTACATTAGGGCCAGGCACAACACCTCTTTGTAGCGTCTCCAGGCCTAGGACGATGGATGAGATACCCACAGCTTGAAACCTTAAACTCGAACCCCTAAACCCTACACCCCTAACCCCTAAACCCTAAGCCCTAAACCCTAAACCCCTAAACCCCGAAGCCCTAAGCCTTAAAGCCTAAACCCCTAAACCCTAAAACCTAAACCCCAAAACCCCTAAACCCCTAAACCCCTACACCCTAAACCCTAAACCCTGGACGTAAATAGCCGTTCAGCCGGAGGCTCGCCTCCTCCTTTCTGGTCCCCTCTTCTCTTGAATTCTGCTACGGTTGATGATATAAATCCTGCATTACCTTAAGGACCCTAAACTATGGGAATTATGGTTTATTCCTTACTATGGGTCATGCAGGATGTATATCATCAACCGTATCGCTTTTGCCTAGACTTGGAGGGTCGGGGGACTTAGTATTGGTAACTAGCTATTTATGGAGGTTTAAATACCAGAACCTGAAATGAAGGCCCCTTTTCAGGTACTTATAACTCTACAAAAACAAACACTTACCAAATCCTCTGACCCTCTTAGTTGTCTAGTTTGTTCCCTTGGATACCCGGCATTTGGGATTGCATGTCGCACAACAGAAGCGAAGCGCATCCAGAGCTGGACTAAACGCAAACCCAAAAATCGTACATGTAAATCCTGAAGAACCCAGAAAGGAACCCTGAACCCTCCAATCCCTGAGCCCGCAATTAACTCGGAATCCCTCATAGAATCCTGGAAAAATACAAGGATGTCCTTTCAAGAAGCCTATACATGGCCGCATATGCCCAGTACCTCTAGCAGGAAGCCCGGCAACCCGCAAGACATCTTGATCCCGACACGTTGGTAACTACAGTCAAGCGACTTCCACGTAACATGTAAGTGGACTTATCCGACTTATCCTCATCCTTGTTAGGGCTACGGATATTCAGTTAAGTTAGGATATTCTCTGAAAGCCTTTCAGATTGAGGCCGGTGGCACAAGCCCTTGCAAAAGATACTTACGAAGCATGCACGAGGACTTCTAAGACTTCTTGAAACCTCGTATAAGATTCTGGCAAGAGCCCTGAGACGTATCCTGATAAAACCCCCTGGAAATCCCCCGACCCTCCAAGTAACGTCCCAGGATTCTAAGGCCGAGGCGAAGCCACCGTGCCGTCTACCAAAAGCGTCCCTCCGCTAAGAAGTGGCGCATACAGCCCTTGGCCGGACTTTTCTTGGCCTTTTGGGTCTTGGGTTTTGGGCTTCTTGGTTGTATGCCGATCGATAACCCTAAGCCCTAAGGCTAAAAATGGCACAAAAGCCTTATATAGTCTGGTCTTTGGGCCCAAAGCCTTAGGGTACGATTAGATTATTGCCGGGTTCGGGTTAAAAGGCAGATACATAGGCTGGTTCAAGGGCTTCGATAAGGACTTATACCTGGGTTTGGCAATGCTACGGTTCACCGTAAAGGTTCCAGCCGGTTGGGAGAGTTTGGGGTTGAGGGTTTCGACGTTTTGTCTTAAGGGTTTAGGGTTTAGGGTGCAGGGCTTCAGGCCTAAGGGACTAGGGCACGCAATAAAGATGGTACGTGAAGGTACTTCAAAGGTATTTAAAGGCCGCAAGCATAGGGCAGGGCCACTATGAAATTTTGCGCCGCCAGAAAATTACTGTGTGAGGCATGGGGCTTTCTTCGGGGTCGTAGCCGCGATAGCTACTTATACTATTGGGGCCATAACATTTAGAGTAGGCTTCGAGGTGTATGGTACGTACAGGTATTAGAGTATAGAACAAAACTACAACGGATATGAATACTGACGAATCACGTCCCGCTGCTAGTCGGAGATCGCTTCCTTGCTGCAGAATAAAACGGTAAGATCAAGATAAGCAGCAAACCCTAGCTTCGATACTGTACCCTCAACCAGAGCTCATTTACGGTTTCAGGCCCAGGGGTTCTAAAGCCCCCAAAAAAGTCTAACGTGAACGGGATGGATACTTCAGAAAGACCTCCAAGTCTGCTAGGTACAGTGGCGCTCGGACTTAAGCAGCAAACCCCACGCCCGAGATACTCAGCGTGAGGGAGCTCAGGTCTCGATTCCCCGGAAACTTCAACCCTAAACCCTAAACCCTAACTTAAACCCAAAACGCCCGCCCCTGAATCCCCAACCTCCCTAATCAAGCCTCAACCCCATGAGCCCTCGACTGTGCTTCAACCAAAGGGGAAGATGGGAAAACCTACCCTATAATGGGCTATACAATGGGAGTATAGTAGCTTTTGTTAAGGGTATATACCTTTCGGGGTCCTTATTAGGGATCCCTCCTTGTACCCTTGGATTAAACCCTACCCCAAACCTTGAAGAGCCCAAAACCCTGAACCCCACCTCGCCGTCGCACCGTCTCAATGCGCGTCACCTGGAGTCTTCTCTAAGTTCTAACTGAATTCTGGTTTGGCGGCACCTGTTTTGCTAGACCCAGACCTTCCAAAATCCCTTAATTAAGGAATATACCTTAAATCATACTAAAGATCCTACAATGGTTTAAGGTACATTCCTCAATTAAGGTATTTTGGAAGGTCTGACCTGCTTCCTATCGTGAGAACACCCTGAAAACACCAGATTAGATATTGCAGGCTAATTTCCTCAAGCCTAAACCACCACAAGCCTAACACAAAAAACCCGGAACCCCAGTTCCCCGACCCCCGGACAGAACAACACAACAAATGCGCGCTTAATAAAGGGGCTTCAACCATCAGAATAGGGTTTTGTGGTTCTTTCTACTATATTTATGATTAAGCACCCTCAACATAGAATTGGTAATAATTTCGGCCCTATATTACACGACCCGAAGATTCCTAGCCGGACCCGAAGCCCTCAACTTAGGAAAGCCTTAAACTTGGGGTTTAAGGTGCAGGGGTTCTGGAAGTGAAGCAAAGGCCTTAAACCCCAAAGGCCTAAAGCCCTAATAAACTCCCAAACGGGGCCCCTAAAGCCATTCTACAACCATATAGACTCATGAAAACAATACAACGCACGACGAAATCCTCACAACCCGGTGAAACCCTTACAAGCCCCACAAACCCTATAAAACCCTACGAGTTACCAGCCCCCTGAAGGGGCCTTGGGCGTGGCAACAGTGCCATCCACCCAGGCGGCAACCAGCCGGTTGCCTTCCACTACCTCATCTTCTTGGCTTCAGGGTTTTGGGGGTTCCTTCACCGGCTCATGTAAAGGATTCCCTTCACGTTCTTTCAAGGGTTCCTTTACGGATTCCTTTGACGGGTCTGTAGGGCTCATTGAAATTTGTGCGAAAGGTTTAGGGTTTGAGGTTAGCTTCTACGATAGGGGTCTGATAGGGTTTCTATGAGGGCTTTGCAAAAGGTTTTAAAGGTTAGTTTGAAGGATTCATGATTAAACACTGGGTAGGCAAAAATCAAGGTTAGCTACTGTCGATGCCAGACACGATTACAAGTCCCCTGGTCCTAAACCCTAAACCCTAAACCCTAAACACCCAAAAATATCCTACACTCTAAACCCTCCAGGCTTGCTTAAGGTAGGGACCGTATTTCACCCTGAATCCACAACCGCCATAGCAACGTGTGATCCTGTCAGCGAACCGATTCTCCAGAACCCTGCAAGCCCTGCACTGTACTCCGTCCTGAGCCCTGGCCAGCCACGAGCTCGAATGATCGCCGAAGCGAGACTGCCACATCAGCCCGGCAATGAATTTAGGAGAGGAAGAGTGATGGCACATGTTTTCGCCGACACTGCCGGCTCGCCGCTCTAGCAGGCTGCTGCCTCCTGCTGTCCACCAAATACTCTGACACTTTGTGCCGGCGCCAGCAGGAGTGAGCTTTCCAAAAGTCCTGCACGTCAGGGAGCTGTCTCAGCAAGCGTGACTGCGCCGCAGTCAGGATTGCACAGCTCTAGTCCTGCAACGACTGCTCTTTCTTGCTCTCGAATGACTCTGCACGACATCCCGCTGCTTTGTAACCATCAGCAAGCGTTCGAACGAGCCAGCACGGATGTTCAGATTGCGAAGTCCGGGGTTTAGGGTTTAGGCCTTTAAGGTTCAGGGTTGAGGGTTTGAGGGGTCAGGTTTTGGGTTTAGGGTTTAGGGTTTTGCGCAAGTTTTGGGTGTTAGGGCGGAAGTTGAGGGTTTGGGCTGTTAAGGTTTACGGCTGAGGGCTCAGGGTTCAGGGTTTTGGGGATTGAGGTTTGGGGTTCGGTTGCTGCGGGTTCCGAAACCGAAGCACCTGGACCTCAGACACTCAATCAATCCGAAATGATTCGCCATGCTTTGCTGCCAAGACTTCACAACACCAGTCAGGCGCAATAGTCAGCTTAAACGAGAACCTTCGTACATCCGGATGCAACCCTTAATTATGGAAGGCCAACAGACAGCTTCTGAAACCTGCAGGAGAGGGGAAGAAATCAAAACCCTAAACCCCTGAACCCCTCTCAACCCTAAAATCCTAAACCCCTAGACATCCCCAAACCTCTGCACACCCCCGAACCCCTGTGGTAGAAGCCCAAACGTTGGAAACCCAATAGCCTCAATCCTTAAGGGTAATGCATAGGGAATCCCGGCACTATTTGTCCTGAATCCGGTTTCCAACTTTCTGGGGTTCATTATACTTATAACCCTCCAAAAGTAAGGGAAAGCCAAGGCACCTCCCGTCCGAGCGTGGGCAGAGCAGGCCCGCCGTCCTGCGGCAGTTGAGGGTTCGGGGTTTAGGGTTGTGGGGTGTAGGGTCCAGATGGGTTACACTTTTTTTAAGGGTGCATTGGGACTTTCACACTGCCAGCTCCCTGCCCACTTTGGGCTTGCACGGAAAGAAAAACAAAGGCTCACTCCTCAAGAAGTGGAAGCCATAGAAGCTTAGGCATTTGCGACATCGGGAACCCTCGGGTTCAGTACTTGGAGGGTCGGGGGACTTAGTAAGTAGTTATTATATAGACTTATAAGTACCTAAATAGGGACCCTAATTGGGGTTATGGCACTTGTAACTCTATAAAATAACTACTTACTAAGTCCCCCGACCCTCCAAGTAGGTGCTATGTTTGTCACCTCCAAGGTATGTTTGACACATCCTGTAGCTGCTCAGACGACAGACTTGGGGACTCAGAGGAGGCTGCTACAGGTAGGGCGTGATCGTCACCAGCATGCGCAACAGAAGATACATCTTCAGCAGAATGGCCTCGGGCTTCAGGTTCGCGTCGTACGGCAGGAACAACACCGTCAGGTTCAGGAAAGGCCTCGCGTGGAGTCAGTTGGCTGGCTGGCTCCTCATCTTCCATGGCAGACGCCCCCTAAACCCCTAAACCCTAAACCCTAAACCCTAAAGGTCCAGTGCCCGCAGGCCCATGGATCGAAAGTGGCGACGATACGCGATCAAGGCCTCCTTCGCCTGCTCCATCTCTGAGAGCACATCTGGCTGTTCCGGCTCGTCGGCGGCATCCGCAGCATCAGCAACTGACTCTGAGTCTTCAAGATGGGTTAAGGGTTTCGGGTTTAGGGTTTCAGGCTTTTAAAAGCTTAGCGTTGAGGGTTTCAGGGTTTTGGGTTTTGGGAATATCAACAAGGATAAACAGATGGAACGAAGAGGGACAATAAGCAGAAAAGCTCAACATCTTCATTGGCGATGGTTGTCAAAATTATGGTCCCTTTCGGGGTACCCTAAATATTAGGTGCCGTATTATAAATAAGGACCCAAAAAGGGACCCTAATCTTGACAAAACCCTATATACCCTCATAGAATCCCTATAGACCCCTTTACGAAGGACCCCCAAAAAATGGATCCTAATTTTGACAAAAAACCAACCCTAAACCCTAAACCCTAAACCCTAAACCCCTAAACCCTAAACCCCTAAACCCCTACACCCTAAACCCTAAACCCTTGTTCCAAAAGCCTCATGCCCGGATGCCCTGGCGTCCGAATTCCCGGCTCGATTCTGGGTCGGAAAGTACTGTTGATGATATAAATCCTAGGGTTCCTTTAAAGGGATCTATAAGGGTACCTTTCATAAGGGGCTCCTTTAAGGGATCTATAGGGGGTTTAGGGTTGATGATATAAATCCTGCATTACTTCAAGGACCCTAAACTATGGGAATTATCGTATATTCCTTATTATGGGTAATGCAGGATTTATATCATCAACCGTATGGATAGCCACAGTTTTAGAGGTTTAAGGGCTAGGGCTTCTGGCTACAACCTAAACCCTAAACTTCCGAAACCCCAAACTCTAAAACCCTAGGACCTGAACCCCTAAACCCAAAACCCTGAAAGTCTGGCTTCTGCTGCTTCAGGATCGGCGGTGTCAGGGACGTCGGGTTTTTTTAGGGTCTATAAGGTTTAAGGCTTTGGGTTTCGGGATTTCGAGTTTAGGTGCGGGAGTATGGGGTTGAGAGCGAATCTGCGCCAGATTTCAACCCAGAGACTCCAATATCCCTTAATTAAGGAATATACCTTAAATTATATTAGGATCCTTAATATGGTTTAGGGTATATTCCTTAATTAAGGGATATTGGAGTCTCTGGGAAGGCAGTTCGAAAACCCGATGGTCCGACCCCTACTTTGCAGGAAACTTGACGTAGAGTGCTGTCAGCTTCAGGTTTCAGGAGGCTACGTTTCAGGGTTCAGGGTTTAGCTACAAGTTTCGGGCTTGGGGTCTAGAGGAACCCTGGCCCAGCTAATTGCCCCGCAGTTTGTTCAACCAGGGAGTCCCCCAACCCTAAACCCACACTGAACTTAGAACCCTAGCCAAAAATTATAAATTTAGCTGTTTCTTAGGGGTTATAATAACCAAAAATTCAAAAAGATCTAAGTACCCCTAAGAAACCGCCAAACCCGAAAACCCTCGGCGCACCTTATGGACGAAAAGAAGATGGCTGGGAGTGAGCTCGACCTTTCCTGTGTTAGAAGGCAGGTCTGGTTTTAAGCTACGGCATATATCGGAGGCCTCAAAAGGTGGGATGAAGGTAGGTAGGACCCTTATATAAGGAATATCCCACCTACCTTCATCCCATGCCTCCGAATACAGGGTGTCCCGCACACTGCACCCTTGCCCCTAAAGCCCTGAACCTTCAACCCTCAACCTGAAACTGAAACGAAACATCTGACAACCTACCCGACTACACCCTCACACACGCAATGGAGCCCATAAAGCAGGCCTGTAGACATCCGAATTACCCCTAAAAAAGGAAGGAACCCGACAAGCCCTTTACCCGGATACTGTTGGGATGTCCCTTCCTGGACAATTGGGGTTGAAGGTTCTGGTCTTGGGGCTCTAGGAATTAGGGTTTACGGCTTGGGGCCCAGAGTTCGGGGTGTACGGTGGGGGTATGAGCTCTCAAGTGTTCTGAATATCTGAAAAGTCTCAGAAGCCAAACCTCTCGGCAGTGCTCACCCCAAAAACCCTAAACCCCCCCTCCCCCCCCAAAAAAAAAAAGAAAAACACACACACACACACATCCTGAAGCCTTTGAGCCGTCAAACCGCTGATCCCAAACCCCAAAAACCCCAAGCCCAAATGCCATGGCTACGGAGAACCACCGGGTTGAGTTCTTGGGTTCGACCCAAAGGCTCGACCTACACCCCAGAAGGCTAAGCCTTAGGTGCTGCCCCCACACCTAGAGGCTCATACCCTACCCCTTTTTTAGGATACCTAATTTTATGGTTAGGATCTGTTATCTTAAAAAGTAGGTGCCCTAAAAGAGGGGTAGGGTATGAGCCTCTAGGTACAGTAAGAGTCTATAATAGGGCTATTATTAAGGTCCTAATATATCTATATCATGAATAGGCTATTCAACTATTACTGAGTGGGGGGCGTACCCAGACTAAGCCCAAATGCCAAACTGCTCACAAGCCTCCCACAAACAAGCAAAAAGCCCCAAGCCCGAAGCCCTGAAGCCCTCAACATCTTCAACCCGTAGAAACCCTATGTGTCGCGGTTAACTTCAACGTCTGCACACCCAGGAAAATATGGGGGACTGAAGCAAAAACAACAAACAACAACAGGCCTAGCTCGTGAGAGATCTGCAGCACCTGGTGAGGGGGAGGGACGCTTTGGCTTTTGGTTTTAGGGTTTGGGCTTGGAGAGTCGGGTTTAGGGTTTGCGGGTTTTAGGTTTTAGGATTTGGGGCTTCAGGGTTTAGAGTTAGTTATTCGTTTCAATGGGGTGTTAAAGGGTCCTGCCTGGGCCTTCAGCGTCTAATAGACGTCTTTTTCAAAAGTTCGAGGCCCCAGTTTAAACAATCATTACGTTGAGGATTTTAGTGCTTGCTGAACTGGTGTAGTTAAAGTGAGGAGGGGATGACGGGTTTCAGAGATTCTGGTTGAGGGTCCGGAGTTTTGGGGTCTAGAACTTCCAGTTTTCGTTTACACGTCGGGACATTACGTTCCCATTCATGCAGCTACGGTTGATGATATATAAATCCTGCATCACCCATAATAAGGAACATACCATAATTCGTATAGTCTAGGGTCATGAAGGTAATGCAGGATTTATATCATCAACAGTAGGATGTCAGCAGGGGTCTGAAATGAAAGACTATCCGGCTAGGGAAGCCAATACCCTCCAGGTCGCGGCACTCTCGCACAAGCTGCCTCTCTAATCGCAATCTATATATAGAACATCTACAGAAGAGTCATGGCTTCACTTCGACTTGTAGTGACTCGGAGCCTTTATAGCTAGTGGCTTTTTGAAGCTGGTTCCGTTTGATTATCATATCAGTCATGTGCAGCCGAACTCAGGAAGAAGGGAAGGGAGGACGGCTTCACCAATCCCTTTTAGGGTTTAGGGGTGTAGGGTCTAGGGTTTTTGGGGTTTAGGGCTTAGGGTTTAGGGGTGTAGGGTTAAGGGTTTAGGGTCTAGGGTTTAGGGTCAGGTATCCTTCAGCTCCAAAGAAAACCGATCCCTCTAAACCCCAAAGGCCGCAGAAAACACATAAACACATGCGGGCCTGAAGCCTAGCTGAATAGGGTTGGTGGGGTCTTCGACAAGATAGTATAACTTGAAGACTGCCCCCATATCCTAAACCGTAAACCCTAACAATGCATATTTATCAGCCCTCTCATATGCCTCGGCTTCAGTAGACGGCGCACGGTGAAGGAACGCTACCTTCAAAGTTGCAAGAAGCGAATAATCGAATCTCGCGGATTAGCTTCAACTTAGGGCTTGGGCTTTAGGTTTCCGTTTAAAGTGCAAAGGGTTTAGGGGTTTAGGGTTTAGGGGATTAGGGTTTGGGGTTTAGGGTGGCCGAAGTGTTTGAGTTTCGTGAAGATTGAGGGTATCATAGGAAATGGAATGCAATGTCGGCATTTGCGTGAAGTCGTGCGGGCGACATGGTACCTGATGGATCCCCAACCTAGAATCCCAAAGCAACAAGCCCTAGCCGCCTTACCTGGCCCTACCCGAGCCAACCCCATGCAGACGACTAACAACTACAAAATGCGCTTTGAAACGCTTAGTGCTGCCCCGAAGAATAAACGGTGCTTCGTGAGTAGAGCCACACATATCCGAATCCCACATCAAATCTCAAGCCCTTCGAGCCTACACCAAACACCCTACTAAACCCGAAACCCTAAAACCCTAAAACCCTAAAACCCTAAACCCGAACTCCTAAACCTTAGAATCCTAAACCCAAAAGCTCCAAATCGGAAGCTCCCGTTTCCGAAGCCTCAGCGGAGAGGGGTTGGGGGTTCGGGGCCGCCCGCGTTCAAGCCCCCCTGCAAATCTAAATCCTAGAATACGTGAACCCTAAACCCTAAACCCTAAACCCTAAACCCTAAACCCTAAACCCTAAACCCTAAACCCTAAACCCTAAACCCTAAACCCTAAACCAAAGCATCCAAAACTTAAACCTCCAAGAATCCTTCCGACAAGCCTCGAATCTCAAATGGGGGCTTGAGGGTTTGGGGCTGTAGTGAGTGCTTGGAGGGTCGGTGGGCTTAGTAACTGGTTACTTTAGGGACTTATAAGTACCATAACCCCAATTAGGGTCCCTTTTAGGGTACTCATAAGTCTACTTACAACCTCCTTACTAAGTCCCCCGACCCTCCAAGTAGGGTATCGGGGCAAACGCTGCCCTTTTGGGCACGAAAGGGGTTGCTATAAGCTAGCTTCATGGTTAATTACACCTGGAAGCTGTACAGCCATCCCGGCCATCCCCAATCTTATGCTGAACATGGTAGCCCACTCGGGATCCACAGAGACGACCTCGCTGGAAGCTAGGCCCTGGATCAGTCAAGCCTACCGAACCCTTCCTGGAGGTTCATGGGCAATAAGTTCGCTAACAGGGGGCTGCAACTAGACGTAACTATCCTACTTTCAAGCCCTACCTGTGACTACCCATGAACCTCCAAGTGCTGAACCCGTTTCCCATGTAGGACCCTCGAAGTCTTACTGGTGGCATTGTTTCAAGTACCCTGAACCCCAAACCCAAAACCTTGCACCCATAAGCCTGAAGCTCGAAACGTTAAGCCCCGAAAATGAAAAGTTCAGCCCTAAGCAGATGACTGATAAGAACGACGCGCTCCCGCTTCCCGCGTGGTCCCATCCAGTCCACGAGATCATCGGATGAGGTGGCGGCGGCGTAGACGTCGTCGCGGAGCCGAACACTTCTCCTGTTCCGTGCAGTAGAACTCAAACACGGGGCCTGTGCAACCCGTGCCGGCGGCCGAGAGGGCTCCATGTTCTCTGTCGCCATTCGCATGGTGAAAGAAGACGTCCATCAGACATTCACTCCTCGGCAGGACCGTTGGATGTGCGCCAGGATTTCTTTGGCCTTTTCTGCCATAAACCCTAAACCCTAAACCCTAAACCCCTAAACCCTAAACCCCTAAACCCCTAAACCCTAAAACACCTAAACCCTAAACCCCTAAACCCCTAAACCCCTAAGCCCTAAACCCTAAACCCCTAAACCCCTAAACCCCTAAACCCCTAAACCCTTAAACCCTTAAACCCTTAAACCCTTAAGCCCCTAAACCCCTAAACCCCTAAACCCCTAAACCCTTAAACCCCTAAACTCCTAAACCCTAAAACCCTACAACCCTAAACCCCATCCAGTCGCTGACAGGGCCCGGCCGGGAGCCGGGCCCCGTCTTCGGGAGTTTCGTTCCTGGAAAACCAGTCTATAAGGGTACTATAATGTAGGGGCCTTAACAACAAGAGTAGGGTTCCTAAAGGGGTCTATAAGGGTTATTATAAGGGATCCATAAGGGTACTATACTGTAGGTCACCTTCTCCCAAAAGGCAGTTTCCGAAAATTAGGGGTGCCTCAGATTGGGGTCTTTGGAATAAGGGCCCTACTACTTGGGGTAATATATTAGGGCCCCCTACTTTCGGAAACTCCCAAAACAGGACCCCCAGAGTCGAGTTCCTGAACTCGACCCTGTCTCCCCTGATCCCCCAGAAAGCCACAAAAAATGTATACTAGGATACCCAGTAACCTAAGAACAAAAAGGCCTCTCTTTTTGGTATTGGGTAACTTTATCAGGACCCTAGGACTACAAAAAGGGAATAAGGGTACTACTGGGCATCCTAGTATAAGAAGCCCAGAAGACCCATGCGAGTCTTAAACCTATAGAACCCTCAGAGGGATCTGAACCAAATCCCGAAAAATAAATCCTAAATCCTAAACCCTGAACCCCAAACTCTAAACCACAAGCGCTAATCGACAAACCCCAAAATAATCCCAACACCCTACACCGTAGCAGTAAGCTGCGGCCAGCGTGCCACTCTGTCAAAGCGAAGCTCCCATCCGCCAGAGCCATCCTTGGCGCGAAAGCAACCCAAAGCCTTGGGGTTTAGCGTATAGGGTTTCGGGTTCAGGGTTTAGGGTTTAGGGTTTAGGGTCAAGCCTCTTTGTCGGGGATCTGCGACGTGCGAAGGGTCTTATAGGATTTCTATAGGCTTTCTGCTGGGCTTCCATAGGGCGTTTTTTTCTATACAGCTTCTGCACGGCTTCCATAGCGTTACAGAGGGGGTTCAACAGAGTTTCTATATGGTTTCGATAGGGTTTTCAGGGGTCTACGTACTTGGAGGGTCCTTCAAAGGGTTACTATAAGGGTTCTATAAAGGGTTTAGGGTTTAGAGTTTCCGAAAATTAGGATCAGGGGACTTAGTAAGCAGGGTCATGGAAGGTAACTTAAATGTGGCCACTGCCTCTACTTGCCAATTCACCTGATCCTGGAACCCTTTTGGCATATCAGGAGTATGGAGTATGTAGGGTTTACAGAAATCTCCGGAAGGTCAGTCCATGCATAGAGGATTACTGGTGCTGGGATTCCCTGTATGAAAACCCCTATACAGCCCACTTATACTTGTAGCTACTCGCATCACAACAGTGATGTTGAACTTCATGGCTTCTATCTGTATGCATCGCACTCCAAGAAACTACAAGTGATGGTGCAACTCCGGCGTCACGAAACCCCATCCCTAATCCCCATAACACACCCAAATCCTGTAGAACCGCATAGAAGCCTGTGAAACCCTGTAAAACCCAACCCAACCCCTAGAAACCCACTTGAGGCTGAGAGAGCCACCGGGATCGCCGAGAGTGCCTCGTCACCAACAGCCAGGGTTGACACTGGAACGGCCCCTCGGCCACGGACGAGCACCTAAAGGGCCAGGAGCCCTTGCAGCTAAGGGGTTTAGGATTTTTAGCGCTTAGGGTTTGGGGTTTAGGGCCCCAATGCTACGGATGAGCACAAGAAGCTTTCGAGCTCTGCTTTCTGTCTTTATAACGAGTTCTATAGTGCGCATAGAGGATGACATAGAGGCCTAAAACAGTCCTGAATCGATGCATGCGTGCTAAAAGAAGTCATGTGATATTTAAGATTGTTCCTCAACTGACAGCTCTGGGCAGTCTGGTGGGAGTGGTCGTTTCGCAGCTTGGGACTTAGCATGTGTAGCTTTGGCTTTAGGGTTTTGGTGAGGGGGTTCCCGGGTTTAGGGGTTATACAATTTAGGGGTTTAGGGGTGTAGTGTAGGCAGAGAGCTCAAGTAGGGCTCAAGCGTTGACGGAGCCCTCCCATAACACCAAAGCCTGGTCAAATCCTCCCAGGCCCCCTCCAGGCAGCCGCAAACAAAGAACGCCTTTCCTCCAGACTTTTCAGCTTTTAAAGTGAGCCAAAACCAAAACATGAACACAAATATGGTACAAGTGCTACCAGAAACCTGGAACCAAGACTCTCATGGAACCCCTGTAGAGCCGTGATAAGACCCTTCAAAGAACCCTCCTTAAACCCTAATAGCCCCAAACACTAACCAGTAAACCCCTAAACCTCACACTCCAAACCCGAAAAACATAAACCCTGCACCTAAAACCTTGAGCGCAAGAACCCCAAACCCTAAACCCTAAACCCCTATATCCCCTAACCCCTAAACCCCTAAACCCTAAACCCTAAACCCCTAAACCCCTAAACCCCAAACCCTTAAACCCCTAAACCCTATCAACAAGTGTGGCCTTCGACTCCCCGGGGAAGCAGAGAAGCTCAAACTCTGTCTCGCAGAACTCGGCGCAACGCGCCTGGCCGGTTGTGGGTTTGGGGTTCATAGGATTTAGGGTTCAGGATTTAGGGGTTAGGGTTTAGGGTTTAGGGATTAGGATTTAGGGTTTAGGGTTTGGAGTTCGGGGCTTAGGATTTAGAGTTTAGTCCAGGGTTTAGAAATAAACCCTCAAAGCCGAAGGTTGGGAGAACGCCCAGCTTGCGCTTTGATGCTGTTTCTAGTGGGTTTGGTAGGCTTTGAAGTACGGTTTATGTAGGGCAACACAAATCTAAAACATAGTAGGAATAAAAAGCAATAATCGACACAAATACACCCAGCAATCTTAAGCGTAGCCTTGACTCCCAAGCAGCTCCAGTAATAATGCACGCGCCGTTTTTGGTACGATTCAGTTTCACTTATGATACCACCCTCAAGGCCTCAAGGGCCTCAGCAGCACCAGTGGTGGACCCAATAGCATGTTAGCTTTAAGATGGTCTGGGGCTTAGTCCAAGCTTGAGGTTTATCGAAATCGAATTGAGCTTAAGGTCTAGTGTTCAGGGTGTTGTGGGCTAGGCTTCTGGGATTCAGAAATGACTGATGCATGGCCAAGGGTTTTCAGCTTAAGGCTTCTATGCATGCATGCATGCAGATGGCAGGCCTGTACACTGATACACACACAAATGTAAAAACAAACGTACATGCATACATACATACATACATACATACATACATACGGTTTTTAGCCACGTAGACCCTGACGGGTCTTCGTGGTCAAGGCCATGGCGGAAGCTTGACTTCCTCCTTTCATGACAACAAACATTCGTTCCATCCAATTGTCGAAGTACGAGTCGGGGTGCCCTTGGAGGGCTACCACAGCGTGTCTGGATAATGAAGTGGAACATCTTTGCGTAAAGCCGCGCCACAAGACTGTGCATCTCTTGATTTACCTACCTACCTACCTACGTACCTAAATGCCTACATACCTCCATCCTTCCCTCCATCCACGCATTTATGTTTGCAAATGAACAATTGTGTATGTATACATATGTGTATATACATATGTATGTTTGTATACATATATACTTTAAATTTATGTTCATTTTACATGTGTGTGCCTCTGCGTGCGTGTGTGTGTGTGTGTCTTATTATTGCCGCACCTGGTTCGCTCTCTCCCCGCCCAGCGCAGCGTCGGCGACGCCCCACGCGCCGGCTTGGTTCTGATCCTGCATGGGTGGGGATTTCTGTTTAGAGTTTAGGGTTTAGGCGTTAGGTGTGCGTACAGTCTGCGCGCAGTGGGTGCACTTTAGGAATGGGGGTGCACCCAGTCATCGCGCGCACGCATCAGCGTGTAGTCCCGCCCAGCGACCCCAACTATTCTCAATTAGGGTTTAGGGTTCACCCACCAAAATCCCCCGCAAGGGGGGCTTTCTTGCTCTCCTTGCAGTTCGACACATAGACGACCACGTTTCACATCAAAGCAGCTGAGATGGATTGGTGTCGGGATTTTGGTCAAGAAGGGCTTCCAACTGACAACCTCTGGCTGGGGTGTTGGGCTGTTAGGATGTTGGGTTCAGGCTTCCGGGGCTTGAGGTTTAAGGGTAGTCTGGGAGCCTGGGATACAGGGCTTGGGCCTCAATATATGTCTACAGGGTTTAAGGTTTGAGGGTTCGGGGGTTTGGGGTTTAGGGTTTAGGGGCTTAAGGTTTAGGGTTTAGGGTTTTGGGGTTTGGGGTTTAGGGTTTTGGGGTTTAGGGTTTAGGGTTTACCCGAAGTTTCGGCTACACGCTTAAATCGGAGCTTGACAGCTTGGGGCTCAGGGTTCAAATGGCCTGGAAACAGAAGCATACACATAAATAAAAATCAACACAGGAATAGGGTTTAGGGTTTAGGGTTTAGGGTTTAGGGTTTAGGGTTTAGGTATGTCTATATATATATATATATATACACATCCATAAATACTCCTCTATTTTTTGTAGATATGTATATACGTATGCACACAACACCAACAAAAGTTGGGACCCTGAATCCCACTACACTGAACCGGACAGCCTGGCAAAACATTTCCCAATAGCGCAGGCAAACAACGAATCCGGTTACAGGGTTGAGGGTTCAGGGTGTAGGGCCCTAAACCCTACCTTAACCCCACGTGGCCTACCTTTTTAGGGACTTATATAAAGAAATCATATTAGGGGGTCCCTAAAAAGGTAAGTTCCGCAGGGCCCAGGTATATAAACCCTAAACCCCAGTGTAGGGGTAAGAACAAATTCAAGACGCTTCAAAGCCCTGACCAGAGACTGAACCCTACAAAACCGTCATTGATCTTCTCTTGGCTGACTTCTGAACCCCTCCTAAAAGTTAACATTTTTATAATTCATATAGAAACCCAAAAAGTTAAAGTCTAAAGAGCCCACCAGAAGAACGCCAAGCCCTACATAAGACCTTCAAACATGCAAGACCCTGGAAGAATCTAAACCCTAAAACCCCAAAACCCTAAACCCCTAAACCCTAAACCCCTAAACCCTGAAACCATTGTCCTTCAACTCCGGAGAGTCACGGCATGACTGAAGGCAGGCATCATAGCTTTCCTCGGCGCCCAGAGACTCCAAAGCACCTTAACGAACTGAGCAAAGTACCTCCCAGACCTTCCAAAAGGATTTATACCTTGAATCATACTAGGGATCCTATTAGGATTTAAGGTGTATTCCTTAATTAAGGGAGTTTGGAAGGTCTGGGCTCTCAACATGCTTCACCGAGGTTCCCCTAACCCCTCAACCCTAAACACTGAGGTTCGCCATTTGGGTGGTTGTCAAAATTAAGGGTCCCTTTTTGGGTACCTTGAATATTAGGTGCCGTATTATCATAGGGACCCAAAAAGGGACCCTAATTTTGACAACCACCCATTTGGGCCGAGGTGGTCGAGAACGCATCTGCGGGCCAAAAGTTCCCTGCTGCTTTCCCCCGAAATGCATAGCCAGAAACTCTACACCCTAATAGGGCCCCCAAAAAGCACATAAGCGAAAATAAGGATGGGGATATCCCAAATAAACCCCCTTATGATGAAGCCCAAGAAGGTCGGGACATCCTTGTACTTATGTGCTTTTTGGGTCGCTAACCTAAATCCAAAACCCCAATGATAAAACCCTAACAGCCCTAAACCTAAGCGGGACGGGAGACTCTGAGAAAGGAGTCTCCGGAGCGAACCAACGGCTCCGAAGCCAAACTTGAACCCGAGGCTCCAAAATCGCGTAACTAGGGTTGATGATATAAATCCTGCATTACCCATAATAAGGAATATGCTATAATTCCCATAGTTTGGGGTCCTTAAAGTAATGCAGGATTCATATGACCAACAGTAAGGTTTGGGATTTAAGGTTTCGGGGTTAGGGCAAAATATTCACGGTTTATGCTTGAGCGTTTAGTCTAGGGGCTTACCATTGAAGTATATAGGGAATTTGTGATGTCGGAACCTTATTGCGAGGCAAGACGCGCCGCTGACCTCGACTTTCTTGCCTGCACTGGCGAGTACATCGACACCGATGCCCCGACATAATAAAGACTATGGACTCAAACCTAAGCCCTAAATGCTAGATCCGTCACTCTAATCCCCAAAACATAAACCCAGAACCCTAAACCCCCAACCTCCAAACTCCAAAACGCTGAACCCGTCCTGGGTACACCTGATACTCTGCCCGCGTGGAAACATTGCTAGTCCTTAGACCCTGAACCCTCAGTAGCCAGTGGTTTAGGTGGTTCCCTTGGCTCTTTAGCTCCATATTTTAATAAGGGTTATCATCATCCCTTGCTCCTTGGCTCCTCCAATATCCACGGTTACCCCTAAACCCTAAACCCTAAACCCTAAACCCTAAACCCTAAACCCTAAACCCCGAGAATTTCGGTGTACTGGGAATTGAGGACTTAGCGAGCCCGAAGCTGCTCATAGCTGAAGGTTCTAGGGCTAAGGCTCTAAGGACTCATATATTGAGGCTTTTGGGCCCAAAGACCATACTATGTAAGGCTTTTGGGCCATTTTGAGCCTTAGGGTAGGGCTTAGGGTTTAGGGGCTTTGTTCAGGGGTTAAGGGTTTAGGGTTTAGGGGTTTAAGGTTTGGGGTTCAGGGGTTTAGGGTTTAGGTTTTGGGGCTTAGGGTGTAGGGGTTTGGGGTTTAGGGGTGTAGGGGTTTAGAGAATAAGGTTTGGGTTGTAATGTAAACCCGCCATCCAACTCACTCTAAACCCTGAGCCCTAAGCACTAAGCACCTAAACCCTTAAAGCCATAAACCTCTCTGGGGACAGGCGGGTGCTATCGACCATCAGCGGGATGCAAGCGCTGCCCTTAGCCCTGAGGATGCAGGTCTCGAATGTGTATGTATGTGCATATGTCTGTGTATAGATACATCTCTCTCTCTCTCTCTCTCTCTCTCTCTCTCTGCATATACATATAATCCCGAAACTAGGTGCGAGGGTACATTCAACCTCAGACCCTAAACAAAACTTTAAAAAACCTAGAGTCGGTTTTAACAGCTTAGGATTTCACGTGCCGACCTAGTTGAGTCGTGAAGGTCAGTGTCTTCCCGCTGCTTGCGGCCATCGTCCTCACGGCAAGGGAGAGCTCTCAGCGAGTCGGCATGCAGCTTCGGGGTGTTGGTCCTACACCCTACTCCGCAAAGCCAACATCCTAGACGGTCCTACACCCTGAACCCTGAATCCTAGTAGGACGGCCCAACCAGCGCAGACACGCAGACAGACGAACATGGGGCTGTCTTGTCTTTTGATTAGGGAAGTCCGAAACTTTGCGATTTTGCTCTGGAAGGAAACCCGGAACAATTCGAGCATCATTTAGCACTCGGTCTCCTGGAGTGATGGTCTCCGGGTTTGGGGTATTAGGGCATACTAAGCTGAAGTTGTACCGGGATTCTGAGACAACAGCAAGACTGAGCATTGAGGTCCCGATATCAGAATGCAAGCACAAGTAAATCCAGGTACCACCGAAAAGGATGCTGTGTATAATCACTAGCTACGGATGGGGTTTATTTAGGGAACATCGGCCCACACCGTCTTTCTTTAGGGTTGCTTGCGGAAGATCTTGCCTAACCGAATCTGGAACGCTTAGAACAACACCCTAAGGGTCCAAAGGACTCAATAATTAGGTACTCTGTTTTAGGATAGTAGTTATGTAGCTTAGGATTTCGGAGAGTATATGATTATTAGGTACTTGGACCCTTGGGAACAGCTTGGGGGAGCTTCCCACTTCGACATGTTCACACACCTGTTGTAAGCTGGCCGGTTTGGGTCTATCGGATAAACCCGAAACCATTATAAGGCCTAATCCAAACCGAAGGGACCGTGTGCGGTTTTCTTGGAGGTTCATGGGTGTTATAAGTGGAGGTATAAGTCCGGAATGTATGTTCAAACTATGGTTACTATAGTTATCCTACTGACAATCATTACTCACAACTACCCCTGAACCTCCAAGTAGAGCCCTTATGGAGCACTTGTAGAGCCCCTTTTATAAATCCAAGCCCTAGTTGTAACTGCCCATGAACCTCCAAGTAGTGTCAATCTTTGCCAGTCCATATCCTGATCCACGGAGCCTCGGGCATAATATAAGAAGGCCTTAAGAATTAGAATAGGGCCATTATAGTATAGTTGTAATATCGAACCCCCAAAATCGTATGGGTAATATGGTTATAATACCGAACCCCGAAAATAGTATAGGTAAGATGGTTATAATAACGAACCCACAAAAATGGTATATATAATAGGAACCCAGAAAACTGAAAGCAAAAAAGTGTACCACTGAACAGCCTGGTATAGGTAATTATTTTGGCCCCTAAATTAAAACTGGAACCAGATCCCAGTTCAAGCCGCGTCCCCAAACGTACCTTTGGTTAGTAGGGAATAGAGGAATGGGGTAGAAATATAACTACTATTACTACCATTCTTCCATTCCCTGCGATATACAAGCAGACTTAAGAATCTGAGCCTCCCTGAACAGATCCCATCAAATTCTTAACCAACGCTTTCACTGTTTCCAAAGGTAAGCAAACCGGAAGCCCGACCCAACGCCCTGCAATGCCGACCCCTTCGTCCGAAACTGCGACCTCGAGCCTCGAACCACGAAAACCCAAACCTTAAACCCAAAAAAAACCCTAAAACCCTTACTAAAATTTAAAATCGCAACAGCCCTAACCCCTAAAACCCTAAACTGTAACCCTAGAAACCCTTAACCCTAAACTTGAACCCCTGGAAACCCTAAAAAACAAGGTCTGCCGTGGCAGCGGGTCCCGCCAGGAGGGCCGCCCTCCGCCCCAGGGGGCTGGTCGCCCTGCGGATAGCCTGCACGAGGTTTAGGGTCTAGGGTTTAGGGAAAGGGTTCCTTTAAGGGCTCAAGGTTTAGGGTTTAAGGTCTTTTTTTTTTTAAATTGGGTTTAGGGTCTAGGGATAAGGGTTTAGGGTTTAGGGTTTTAGGGTTCCTTTAAGGTTTCCTTTGTGGGGCTCCTCTTGGGGCTCCTTTTGGGGTTCCTTTAAGGCTTCCTTTCAGGGTCCCTGTACGTGGAAGGGGTTTAGGGATTAGTTTTTTCGGTTTATGGTTTAGGGTTTGGGGTTTAGGGTTTGGGGTTTGGGGTGTAGGGTTTAGGGGTTGGGGTTTAGGGTTTAAAGGGTACGTTACTTGGAGGTTCATGGGTACTTATAAGTAGGTGTTATAAGTTTATTTTCAGGGCTCGATAAGGGTTCTATAAGGGGAGGTTTGGGGCGATAAACCAAAACCCTGTACCCTGAACCGTGGTGGTTAACTTACTTAAACCCCGCCTACGACGTCCTGCACCTGTAGCTGGAGGCCCTGAGCCCCGGTTGCTTCAAGGCACTGGGCTTCACATTTAGAGTTCAGGGTTCAGGGCTTATTTCACACTTTTCATCGTTTCTTTCTTCAAGTCCGACAAGTCCTGTACCCCTGTCCGTCTCAGCGAGTGAAAGTGCATTCATGAGAAGAACATCGTGTTGGGGTTAAAGTGTAGTAAGAAATCAGAAGGAACCCTAAGGAGCAACGTAAATGGCTATTCAAACCCTGTACAAACCCCAAAGCCCTGAAAGAAGTTTCGATCCCTTACAGGAACCTTACAAAGGAGCCCTCAGGAATCATGTTACAAAACCCCATGCTCAAGCCTAAACCCTTCTAACCCACAAGGAACCCTTAGGAATGCCAGAAAATATTCAAGCTTGCACAAAAGACAACGACTGCCCGAAGAACTTCGCTGTTAGGGGTTCTAAAGGTTTCTGCGGTTTGAGGGTTCTTTTGTGGTTCGAAGACTTAAAGTCTAGGGGCTTCGAGACATCATGTCCTATGTACACGACCGTTCGGAAAGACAAGATACCACCTCAACCTTGCCACCAGCTTCCCACTACGATATTGCTAGACAAGTGGATTTCCTGCTTACTAAGTACTCGCCGCTTCGTACAATGTCTTGCTATCTTACTCTGCTGCTGTGTCGTCACTCTGGGGAAGCACCTAGCCTTCGAATAAAGGATCTATCCTCAACTTCTCTCTCCTGAGGTTAGAGCTCAACCCTGTTCACGCGCGTGCATTCGAATAGCTTTTCGAAGATACGGCAGCAGAAGGCTCCAAGCGGTTTCAATCGAAGCACATTCCTCTCAAAACAAGAAACAGTGGCAGCAAAGCCCTAAAGCTCTCCACCCCCAACCGCCAAACCACAAACCCTGAAACTCCGTCGCCCCGAGCCAAAAAACACCTAGAGCCCTTCAGCAACACACCTTAGGGCCCTTACAAAACCGTCAAACCTGACAGGACCCTTATCAAACTCTCGCAATTTTGTAGCCTGATCGCATAGTACGGGGCTCTGTACAAACAGTAACAACATTGCCCCAATATAATGATGGCACATGCACTCTAGTGAAACAATCCCCTAAGTAAACTCAGAAAGATCTTTGCAACACCTTTCCAGGCCCCATAACATCCATAGGGAGCAGTCTCAACATTAAAGCCGCTGTACCTTACTAAACACTTATCGTAACGCGTATAGTGACCTTTTTTGAACCCCTTGACCTAGACCTCAAACCCTAAACCCTAAACCCCAAACCCTAAACTCCTAAACCTAAACCCTGAGCCCTAGACCCTAAACTCCTAAACCCTAAACCCTAAACCCGAAGCCCTCAAACATAAACCCCTAAATCCCTAAACCCTAAACCCCTAACCCCTAAACCCTAAACCCCTAAACCCCTAAACCCCTAAACCCAAAACCCTAAAAGGAAAGCTCTATCTACCAAGGTCCCGTCAGTCAACTTGGCCTCCGTTTTGGGGCGGATGGCCCTGGTAGCCGCCCTGCGATTTAGGGGTTTTTTTAAGGGTGCAATAAGGGGTCCTCTAAGGGTTATGGTTTAGGGTTTAGGGCTTGGGGTTTAGTGTGCAGGAGCTTCGCGTTCCCATATTCAGAGTTTAACTGGGCCGCGTTAAGTTTGCCAAATGGTTTTTGGTGCCCCAGTCAAGGACTACAGCTTAAATTATGTTAGGACCCATCATCTGATTAGAGGTCTATTCCTGAAGTAGAAGTTTCGCGGGGTCTCAGGGCACAGGGCTTAAGTAGCATGGCATTGCAGTTTACGGTTTCGGTTGGTTTGGGTTTGGGGGATCTTGTAATCTAGTACTGCCAGGGAATTCAGGGTTGAGGCTTCTAGATATGAACGGGTTGTACAGAGAGTTACATATTGCCTCTTGAGACTCTTATGCTTCCGACCAACCAACACCACTCTCAAAGCAGACACTTGTCTGCTATTCCTCCCTGGCCTTGAGCCCCTTGTCAAGCTCACTTAAGGCTTTACAGTTAAAGGGCTTAGAGTAGAGGGCTAGGATGCCGGAATCAAGGCTCCCTATGTTGCGTGGCTTAGGGCTTGGGGCATGCTTCTGGATGAACGAAACGGGACCACCCTGAGCAAAAAGAAACTTCACGCAGCTGCCTACAGCCACATTCCACTCATGCTCCTCGAGCCTGCATAAATTGGGAACAGCGTATGGTGGAAACAGAAACTGAATAAGGCCGGGGTGAACGACGAAGAGCTACCGGAGGGGGTGATGCTCTGCTGAAAACTAACACTGGGAATAAGCAATATTGAAAGACAAACCATCGAAACCTACAGCCACCATTGCCGTGATCGCCATCATCCACGCAGTCACCACCGCAACCGTCGTATCATTATCAACATCAACTTCATGAGGATACAAACCACAATATGAGTCATACTACAAGTACAGCCCATCATGGCGGTCTAAACAAAATACATATAAAACTCAAGAGCCGTACAAACGACAATCTCGCTTTTCTCGCTTTTGGGGCATGGCGATCCGGTGAACGGACGCAGCCCATACCAGCGACAATCATACAAAAGTACAAGCACTGTCATTTCAAGATTATGCCCCCGCGGCAGCGCGGTCAATGCGACGACCAAGACGATGACGATTACTCCTCCTCCTCCTCCTCCTCCTCCTCCTCCTCCTCCTCCTCCTCCTCCTACTACTACTACTACTACTACTACTACTACTACTACGACTGCGCAACTACTACGACGACGGCGACGACGACTACTACTACCACCACGAAAACTGCCACTTCTGCTTCCACCTATGACCGTATTACAAACACTTAAGATTGACGATAGCCAGGCCAAACAGCAAAGAGAAAACCGCACGGCAGCTCAGCTTTACACAACATCAACCACGGCAACATGTTGATCCCTCAACAAGAAGGGTAATACCCAAAGCTATGATCGTAAAGATCTGTGCCTGCTGAGGCGGGCCCCCGCCCTGCGGCGGCGGGCCCCCACCCTGCTGTGGCGGGCCCTGGCCGTGGGCCTGCGCCGGGGCGCCCTGGAAGGAGGTCCTGCGGCTTAAGGTTCAGGGTGGAGTGTTTCGGATTTAGAGTAGTTTGGGGATTTAGGATATAGGAATCGACTGGGGCTTCAAGGACCTGCGGGTTTGCGTGTTCAAAATTACCCCCATTCAGACATTCTTTGTGGCTAGGATCTCTCTACAAAAAATGGAAAGTGTTGGCAAGCGTCTCTCCTCGAAAGGACACACGAACCCCGGCGGAGGGTCTCTATCCCTGTTTGGAACACCCTACCTGTCCTGATCCCTCCAAAAACAACACGCAAACCTTTCGGATTGAAGGTTGCAGGTTATATACTTACTGTATTCCCTGAATTGCTGCCCTGGACCCTATAAAACCTTCCTGTTTAGGGTTCCCTGTTATGTTTTCCCTATATAAGTTTTTACAACGGAAGGTTATTTGGGGTTAAGGGAACCCCACACCAAGATTTCCCGAGATTTGGGTGAAGCATTGGCTTCTGGCACTGTGGGCTGCAGGATGCTGGGAGTGCAATTACTTAGGAAGCAGTGCAACCCCTAAACCTTGAACCTTGGACCTCTAACCCCGCGAAAGCTAACGCCGTCCTCGGCGCAGCGTCTGCCTTTGCGAGGAAGCTCCCCCTGGCCTCACGATAGTGTTAGGACTTGGGGGCTTCCTTTAAGGGTTCGTTTAACCACCGTTCTATAATATGGTCTTTAGGCCCAAAAGGCTTAAATCATGAGCCTTTAGAGCCCAAAATATAGGGACCTCAACAATTAGAGTAGGGTTTTAATCCTTATACTAAGAATCCTACTATTTAGGGGTATTGTACTAGGGTCCCCTAGCCCAAGAAATTCCCACATAATTTCACAGTGCGATATGCTTGTGCTGTGCGGTTTGCTCTTTCGCCATGTCCGGAGCAATGCATCCGGCAGATACGTTCATGCCTGCGTCTCTTGAGCCCTTATCCTGAAAACTTGAACCCATCTGAGCCCTAAAACCATGAAGTCCCTAAATAAAGTAACCCTGAGCTCGAGCTCTGGGTTGACACAAGTGAGTTGGTAGCTGGCGGGGGTGGGGTGTCGTGATCATGTACATTCTCATGTTGGTTCGTGGAAATTAAGGATCCGGGTTCGGCCACCGTAGTACATAAAACTTGAGACACAGGGGCCTTCCAAGACACACACTCACGCAAACATGCAGGCTCGCATCTCAACAGTCTCAATCGGTAATTATTAAGGCCCCTCTGGTAAGTGTTACTTAGAGGGTAGCCTCACGATATTGAGTCGGAGTGGGGTTCAGGGTTTAGGTGTTTCGGGTTACTGTTTAGAGTTTAACATTAGTGTTTTGGGTTCAAGGTTTAGGGCTTGAAGGTTTTGGGTTTTGGGGCTTTAGGGTTTAGGGCTTTAAAGTTTGGAGCTTCGGGCTTTAGGCTTTGGGTTTTAGGGTTTAGGGTTTTAAGGTTTAGGGCTTCGGGTGGGTCAGAAGGGCTGGGGTTCGGTTTTTGCGCGTTGGAGGGCCGGGGTTCACGGCTCCAAACTCTTCGTCGACACGGCCTCAACTCCACACGCAAGCACGCGCCTTGTAAAAATCTCCACGTCATATGAGGCACGTGCATGCTTCAAGTCCTGCTCGTGTCCGGCCCACTTCTCCACGGCCATCTGGGACTTGCCCAGCAGGTAGTAGGCCAGCTCTTCGAGCATGCTGTGGGCACCAGCCTTGCCAAGGGTGATGCATCGGCAGAACTTTTCCTCGGGAAAACAAGAATGGCAACACACTACTAACAGGAGAAACACGATTTGTCATGACTTAATCTCCAGCCCAGCGGCTTCGGCCTGCTCCACGTCCTTGACGATGTCCCCGGCCGCGAAGGTGTGGAACATCTGCTCAGCCCAAGCACCACGCTAACACTGTGCAGAGCGTCCGAAACCCGAGCTCGAACACGCGCCTCCAAAAAATCAAAAGCTTAGGTTGGAACGGCGAGGACGGCAGCCACCTGCTCGTTCTTGGGGACCATGAGTTGCTTCGCAATGTACTCGGCGCTCGAAATGAAATCCTCGCACCGGTACTTCTTGTGCGCTTCCATCACCTTACTGTGCTAGACTTAATTAAATCAAACAAGTGCCAAGCGCTTATCAGACCCAGCCGCAGCATGTGCGAAGGTGGTGAAGATCAAGGCCATGTTGAGGTCGTTGACGCGTTTGGTTTGCAGCGCCATCGCTGTGGCTCGGCCACTCATGCTAGCCTGAGCACTGCTCCAACACTTTGACGCACAACGCCGGACTTCAACAAACAGAACACAACGAACAAGACGCCGGAAGTCACTGTCAGGTCTACCCAACAAGCACAAACCAATGAGAAATTGAGACCAAGTGGCGACTATCCCCTTGGCACTCTTGGTCACCTGCAAGTCACACAACTTCACGAAGCTCTCGCCTTAGCTTGTGAACAGCACCATTAAGGCACACAGGGCCCCGCCGCAGGATAGCAACGATAATCCCACACAAAAAGGCCCCCCTATCCGGCCGTCTATACTCTACACATGAGCCCAGCGCTAGAACATCTTCAACGCGGAGCAAAGATGCTGACAAGACGCAGCGCTCGGAACTCGTCGGCCACTCAGTCTCGTCGAAATTCAGGGCGCGACAGTTTCTGCAAGCATAGACAAGCTGCACATAAGGCAAGAGCAGAGGAGACAGCTGCATGAGTGTTCCCAGTCGTAGGCGTTGGCATACGGCTGCGTGAGTTCGAGACACTCGATGAGCTCTGGCAGCTGACACAGCCATCATCGTCGCCATCCAAATCTCCTCAGAAAAGTTTTCAGCAACGGCAAAACACAACTTTTCTGGTTCAACCGCACCAGGACGTCAACAAAATAAAGCACACTAACACTACTGCCTCAAATCAAGCAAGTCACCGGAAGCCATGTCCGTGTTGAGCTTCCCCTCCCTGCTCAAAAGAATTGAGCTGCTTGGGAAGGGGGTTGCGCAATCCTCGGGCAGCTCCATGGCCTCACGGATAGGCAAGAATGCGCGATTCTTCGGAACACAAACACACAATGGACGGCACAGCCACCGAAGTAGTTCTCTCTAGTCCAGCCTCGAGGACGCACATGTCCCGAGGGCTGTGGCAGGGATAACGCCAAACCTCGTGAAGCAAAAGAGACCCAGGAGAGCGCAGGATGGTATTGTCCTATCTTCGTGACGAGCAAACAGACAAAAGACATGGTGCCTCCACGTCGCTGCTGTCTGCTAGTGATGAACGTTTCGCCGACTGCTATCATACATTCGTGAGGCAAGAGGTCGAAGTCGAAGGCGCAGCCGGCTCTCACTCTCGCCGCAACTGCATCTCTAAGATGGCAGCACTGGCATCCACAGATGCGCCTTGAACATTTGCAAGAACGACAACACTGTCAGTAAACTCCTGACTCTACCCCCTGACCCTTTCACCAAGAAACCTAGGGGGCTGAATACCCCAGCCCACAAAAAAAGTCAACCTTTTCAATTGTCGTAGGACCATATAAACCCCAAAGGATTACAGGTTACCTACTCAGCTACTAAGAAACCCTACTTTAGTAGCTTCAGGGATCTGACAGTGCTTTCAGGACTGAAGGATTAGTGTGACTTGGAACTCATGGGTTCGAACTGCAGGGTTTAGGGTTTTGGGCAGGCATAGTGTTGGGCTAAAGGTTTGGGGCTCTGGTACGGCTGATGGACAAAATCCTGCATGACCCATAATAAGCAATACATGGAAATTATGGTATATTACTTATTATGGGTCATGCAGGATTTCTATCATCAACCGTATGGTTTAGAGCTTTTGGTTTGGGGGAGGAAGCTCCTGGATCTTCGGGCGTCGGGAATAACCCGACGAGAAAACCGGGCTCTTGCTAAGGAGCGGTTTAGGGTTTAGGGTTATAACTTAAGTTGCGATAATAAGGGAACCACTTTTCTTGTGTAGATCCCTAATTATATGGCATCTTAAACTAAGTTCCGAAACAATAAGGAAACCATAATATTCAGAGCAGATCCCCGTTATTCTAATTGAAGTCAGAAAAGCCTTCGGTACTGTCTGCCACGCGCCATCGTTGAGCGAGGCCTTGGTAACGCGAGGGGCTCCGCTGCGGCGAACCACCGGTTTCCATTACAATCAACATTTGCTTCTGTTGGGTTTGGGCCATGAAAACTAGAGTAGGATTCCTTTAGGGAGAGGCCTTAATAATTCGCGTTCGGAAATTGGGCGTTAGAGGGCGGAAAAACTAAAGGAAGGAAGGAAGTAGAGGTGAGGGCAGAGGATTATGGGACTCAGGGTGTTTGCTTCAGCGCTGGAGCTTCGGAGGTCGATCTCAGCTTATGCGCGGGGTTCAGGGTTAGTTCTTTCCTCCCAAAATCATCACCAACCCCAACCCCTCCCCTCCGCAAGAACAACCAGAAAACTAAACCCTAACCCCCTAAACCCCTGTTATAGATCCCTTAAAGGAACCCCTATAGATCCCTTTGAAGGAGCCCTACCCATGCAACTCAGATACACAGTCCCCCTTACACGCATCGCGAGTCTTCTGGGCGTCTGGGCCCATGGGTCCACGAGCTGATGCTGTGGAGCTTTGAAGCTGCCGACCTTTCAATTCGGAGGATCACGGGACTCACTAGCTACCGTAGACCCTGACTTTAAGGATAGGGTGTTGGGCTGAAAGTTCGGGATTCGGGTAACCACCCCAAACCGCCTCTAAACCCTTGTGCTTTAAGAACATACAAGTGCCTTAGTTACACCCGAGTCGTTACACCCGAGTCATAGCCGGGGGGGTCCCGTATGTTCCCGAAGAAATGCCTTGGGATTTATATAAGGCTTCGACGTTTTGCAAAGGTTTTGTTTGAGAAATCTATAAAGGTTCCTTGGTGGTCAGAGCTTTGGGTTCTGGGTAGGGTCTTGGGCCTTGAGTCTTTTGCTATGTGCAGTCTTGTCTAAAGTAATCGAGTCCAGAAAGGTAGCGGATGAAAGGCTCATTCCTGAATGTAGGCCAGCCCCCAAAACCTCCGAAAACTAAAGGGCAAACAAGGCGGAGAGGGTACAAGAAGACAAGGGAACAAGGGGGCACAAAGGGGACAAAGGGGACAAGGGGGACCAAAGGGACAAAGGAGAAAGGGGACAGAGGGGACTGAGAGGACAAGGGGACTAAGGGGATCAAGGGAACAAGGGGGAAGAAAGAGCGGACTCTCTAGGCAAACACCAAGCCACCAGAAGGCTCCGGACTAGGAAGCCCCAGGGGTGTGTGGCAAATGGTTAGGGGTTTAGGGTTTAGGGTTTAGGGTTTAGGGTTTAGGGTTTAGGGTTTAGGGTTTAGGGTTTAGGGTTTAGGGTTTAGGGGATTTAGGGCTTATGTGCCCATAACACGGACAATATGAGGCAATCCCCAGCACAATTCTTCCAAGAGTCATACAAGCGCCATACAGTGAAGCCTCAAACACCTCAAAGCCAAAACAAAAACCTCAGTGAAACGTAGGATCCTGCATATCCAATCATTAAACCCCACAAGCATTGACGTCCCCTAAACCCTAAACCCTAAACCCTAAACCCTAAACCCTAAACCCTTAAACCAGCGCAATTAACTTTGTGCAGCTGAGTGAGCAACAGCCCCTAACCTACAGGCTCAACCTTCACCCTTTAAGGGTTCAGGGTCTGTTTAAAGGGTTGGGGTCTAGGATCCCTGGTAGAGGTGTCTTTTGCGGTTTCGGGTCTCTTGCGGCAGAGTTGTTCGGGTTCCGGAGTTAGTTTGCCGTTTAGACCTGTGACCCCAAGCCCTGCAGAATAGCAGGTTGTGACCCGTTGATTAGAGGGTTGAACCCTTAAAACGGTAGGTTTTTGGATCCCCAGGAAGTTCAGGTGTCGGGCTTTGTCGTAGCACAGGGTTCACGCGCGTGTGGGAGGTACTACATCGTTCGGGATTCGGGGTTTGAGGCTTGGAAGTTGTTGCTGCGGGGTTTAGGGTTTAGGGTTTAGGGATTCAGGGTTCGGGTGTGAAGGCGTCCTGGCTCGAGGCAAGGTAGCGGCTAGCTTCTCCAATTTGGAGTTTTCTAGTGCGCTCTTGCCATTCCGGACCCCAGCAGTTTCTGCGCTTGGTGCTGCCCGTGGGAGGGCTCACCGGGGCTTGGTACGCCCCTTTTTCTTTGGGTCACTGCCGTTCAATTGGCTGACCTATTTCTGGAGGCGCTCTCCAGAGTGGTGGTTGGCCACTGGCCAAGCTTTGGGTTGCTGCCTTAACTGAGCCAACCCTCAGGCCGCGCGGCCTTTTATGACTGCCCTGGCGAGGTACCTCTCGATTCTACCGCTTTTATTGCTGGGATTGGGGCTGCTTTGGCTTGGGCACGACAACGGCGCGGAGACGCCCACGCAGTCCCGCTTGGCATCGGCGTCAACGGCGGGCAAGGCACAAGGCCAGGAAGGCCGTGAGAAAAGGGCGTTTCTCAGCGGCGCAGCTGTTTCTGCTTGCGACCCACCACGGGAGCATGGCTCCCAAGCAAGGAGGTGCTGGCAGTCAGTCATCGCAGAAGGGCGGCTCCGGAAAGGGCAAAGAGAAAGCGGACAATCAGCAGATTACAAAGATCGAATTTGGATTGCCCCCTTCGATGGTTCAATCCTTACAATCGATCGCGACCAGGGCTACACAGGATTTGTGGAGCCAGACAGCCTTTACTGCCGAGAATGCCACCGTCGAACAGTTAGCTCAGCGCAGTGCAAACGCCCTGGGTCGACTGTCGAAGCGGTTGAACGGCAACGTCCGCGCCAAGAAGGACCTCCAGGATGCGCTGCTGGCATGGCTGTCTACAATGGGACAGCATCTTTTGGGCCTCGCCCACCGTGTCGATGCTCTCAGCAGGAAAGTGGACGAGGATACAGTCGCTGCAGTGGAGGAAATGCGCCAAGTCATGGCGGCACAACCCTCCGTGACCACAGAGGAGCAGCTCGACCGTGCGACCCAGTCTCTGGGACCAGTTTGGTCCGAGGGCCAAGTGGTGGAGGTTCAGAGTTTGGCAGCAGCTCTTCGAGCCTTCTCCACGACCCAGGCCATGCCTTCAGGGACTCCAGTTCCAGTGCAAGGGCTTGCAGGTGTGCACAGAGGCGGCACCTTTCTAGGGCTGCAAGTTGCAGCAGGACCCTCCTCGGATGTCCCTATGCTTTCTGGCCCTCAGCAGCCCGCTGGAGACCTCGCTGCCGGACCACAGTTCGGAGATGAGTTTTGGGCCCTTGGACAACACATCCAGCCAGGCCCCTTCTGGAATGGAAGGCCAGCGAAGTGGCCGATGGCGGAAGCGCAGCGGAGGCAATGTCGACCGGCCCTCCAAAAGCCCGCGTCGGGACCTGGAGGGTGCACCGTGGCCTGGAGAAGCCACAGGACGCACCCCCGAGGGCCTCAAACGCGATGCACAGACCGCTGTTGCCGACGACGACCCAGAATTACTGCCGGCCACTGCAACAGCAAGTGCCTGGGTTGTGTCATGGTTGGCTCTCCTTCGCTTCGCTGTGGACAGCGGAGCCGACTTGGTGGGCGAAGTCGGCCGCTGCCCCCAGCAAGACCAGGCCATGCAGCTCACTCTGGATGCTCAGGCGCAGGATGTGGTTCTACGCACTGCCGAATCGGTCTGGACTGCTTTGGAAAATGCGGTGGCGGACCCGGCTCATGCCGACCTGCAGTCGCTCTTTCTATCCCTGCAGGGATTTCTGCACAGTGTACGGGGATGCGCCAATGCTCTGCCACAGGTTCGTCAGGGACTGCTGGTGGCCGCGCTCCTGTCCAATGGGAACCTCAGGGACCCGTTTGCATATGCCCCCTCCACTGCTCAAGAATGGTTGTTTCCAGACCTTCTCTTGGAAGCAGGGGTGCCATTGCGCGGGTTTGTGGCAAAGGATGCTTCAATGGATGCACATGTTCAAGTTTTGCTGCGCATGCCCTCGCCTATGAGGCCAGTTGGATCAGACACCTGCCAGAACGAGCTCGAGTGACCTCTGATGATGTCGCGCAGCAATGGCTTTCCGGCACAGCTGTCCCAGCGGGCTGTGGTAACAGAGACTTCGTTTGGTCGAAAGTTTCTCTTACCACGGTCTGCCTTTTCCTCGGGCGCTGTGTGCTACTGTGTATAGCCCTGCGTAGAGTTAGTGTAGTCACGACGCATTTTCTCTCGGCCTACGGTCCCAAGCTTTCTTGGTATCGTGCGTGGCAGCTCGGCAGTACCTGTTCTGCTTCTGCGTGGTGGGTAGCGGCCTCCTTCTGCCAGCCCTACCCTATGGCACTCTGTGCGGTTACTAGTGAGCTTTTGGCCTTCCACCCTGCTTTGGTCCGCACCCTCCGCTGTGTCCTGGAGTGGCTTCCTTGCCGTTGGTGCTCATACCTTGCCGTGCCGGCCGATTTCCTGAGGCAATGTGGCCCTACTTGGGCACACAGACACGGGCAGCATTGCTCTTCATTTGCCTCGGCCTTGATTTGGGCCTGCCATTCCCTTACGTCCTCCTCATGGGAACATGACAATGCCTTGTGTTCGGTTTCCCGACTGGCTGGTCATAAGGTTCAAGGCTCACGTTACTGTGTTAAGGCTCGACCTAAAAGGCATGCAGCCCCAGGCCTGCATGTGACGCTGCTGCTGCTGTACTTCTCAGTTGCTGATGGGGCTACTCTTGACCTTGGGGCTGCGGTTGTCTCTTCTTGCTTCATGCATTCCCCTGAAGCTGTGCAGCTCCATGCCCACGGATTTCACGAAGGCCCGCCTGTTCTCAGTACCGGACCTGTCCTCCCCACCCCGACCGTGGAGGAGATGTGCGAGGTCTATCCGGTTGGGCGTACGGGGAACCTGCTTCTTCCACGCACCGATCGGAACAGAAGGCATCTTTCCGTCCTTGTGGGAACGCCTCCTGGCGCTCCGATCCTGGAACCGTGTCCCATCCCTCTCCTGGTTGATGAATGGTTGCATGGTCCTCTTCTTCACGCCAGGTTGGCAGCTTCGCTGGGCTTTCCCTCGGGGGTGTTCTCTGCTTCTGCTGTCCGGGGAGTCCTCCCAGGGCTGCCAGGTGAGCAAATTCTTCTGACCCCCGTTGCCTGCTCCTGGCGACAAGTGTGGCTGCCTGTGGATCTGCGTCAAATCGGAGGCCGTATCTGTATGCTTCAGTGCCCTCGTGACTCTACTTGCAGAGCCATTGCCCAACTTGCCCTTTCCGCTCAATCTTTGCAAACTGAGGTCGACCTTCTCCTTGCTCGATGCCCGTGGGGCTGGTTGACTCTTGTGTCCCAGCCCCTTTTCTTGCAAGATGTCGACACTCTGCAATTCCAGCTCGGGCCGTCAACGGGAGCTCTGGACGGGCCTATAGGGGCCTCACTTGACCCTCCACTGTCCTTGTTTTCGACCATGCAGGTCAGTCTGCCCTCCGCTCCACTCAATCAAGAGGCTTTCCCAGGTCACTCACACAACCAGGCCATCCTCATCACCCCGAATGGCCTGGTTTATGTCGAAGCCCCGGTCTTTGCGGACGCAGCCACATTTAGGCGCATAGTCTCGACTCGAGCCTCAGCCAGTGCCACTGGAGGAATCATGCGCATTTGGCATCCTCTCCCTTCCCTGCCACTTGTCCAGTTTCTGGAAATACACTGTGTGGGCGATGAAGTGCCGTGCATATTGGATTTCCGGCCTGTGGGGTGGCGTCTTACTACGGTGTGTCTTACCCCGCCAGTCACGGCTGTCGCGGCTGTTGCCGCTGCCTCGACCCGAGAACGTAATAGCCTTCCCCTTGCATGGGTCGAACAATGTGCTAGAGGGGGTTTTGGTCTGCTGCACAGGGAGCTGGCTGTTCTCCCTGATCAGGTTATTTCAGGGAGTTTTCCTCTTGTCATCATGTTCTTCCCACATGTGTTCCGCCAGGACTCATCCTCTTCTTCAGAGGAGCAGGTTGGAGGCTGGGATGGCCCGGATACGTCGGACACCATTTCGGCGCTACAGCACACCCTGTTGCCTTCACCTGCCCGCGCTGCCACACTCCCAGCATGCACGGGGATTTCGCCTGAGGCTTTTCTGGCTCCCTCAGGCTTAAGTCCCCCAGAGCCGGCTGCCGAGCCCAGCTCCGACGGGTCAGCCGCGGTGTCTTCCGCTACGTGGACGCAGCACATCCTGATCGGCCTTTGGTTCATTCATGACCTTCCGCTCGGCCGCGGGGCATTTTCTGTGTGGAGTTTTACTCCCCTACTCTTGTTAGTATGGTCTGGCACAGCTGTTCAGACCCGTAGTGAGCCCTCTTCTCCTCATGCCTTTGTGGTTGCAGCCTCCAGAGCCCCCGACCGTCACGTTGCTGCCCCTGCGGGGGTCCACGCTCATCTTCAGGCCTCTTGGCTACAAGTTGGGGACTTCGGCGACGGGAAGCTGTGGCAGACGCTCCCGCTCTCAGGGGTTAGCTTCTCTATCACTTGCCGGTTGTGGGTCCCGGGCTCCTTTGTTCGCATTGAGTTCGCCAACACAGCTAGTGCCAGAGAGTCCTCTGCGGAACTCTATCGTCGAGCTATCCAGCTCGGCCGCCCCCACATCGTCGCTGCATCTGCGGGCCCCACACTCGATGCGGTTCACTTAGTCTCCTTGCCACCCAGGAGCTCTACGCTGACCGTTCTTTTTGATGTTGGGGTTGATATAGTATGCGTTGAGCTTCCCCTTGATTATTCTGCCGCACAGGTCCTGGCAGCCGCGCAAGGGGCAGCAGGTTCGACCGACATTCAAATCCTTAAGGGTTCGGCCCATAGGCTTAGACAGGGCGATGTTATTCAGGTTGTGGTTAATTCCGCTGCCCAAACTTTTGATGTCTCGGCCTTCACTCTGCCACACAGTGTCCCTTCGGCGTCCCGATGGTTGCATGAGACGCGTGTCGTCTCTCTGCTTCACTCAGGAGAAGGCGTCCTCTCCTTTGAGGTGCCTCGTGCGGCTGATGTCGATTCCGCCCTTCTTCACACCCTTCTGCGGCAGGTCCTGCCTGGGAAGCATATTTTCATTGAGATTCCCGATTCCGGGGCCCTCCCCCATGCCACGTTTGCTGCAGTGAGTTCGGGGCAAGACTGCATCATTTATCGTCTTACTGACGCCTCTGTCCCGACGGCCCCGGGGCTCTTTCTTGCATTCTCTGGAGTCTTTGACTCCTTTTCTGCCTTCTTGGAGAGTCTCCTCAGCAGTGGGCGGCCCGCCGCCGGGCTCCTCCGCAGCCTACGCACCTTTGGTCTCTCTGTGCTCACCTGGGAATGCACCACCATCCCTACCCGTGACGACTGCCACTTCTGGTATGTCCATGTACAAGCCGATTTCGCGCGGGCGCGCCGCCACGCCGTGCATTTCTTTGGGCACCCCCGCGCCATTCGGCAACCTTCTGTGCTGCCCCCGCCGCGGGCGAGAGCTTTTACACATGTGGGTGTTCAAACCACCGCCCCTTTTATCACGGCTAGCACCCAGGCCGCTGTGTTGCAATCACCCCCGACCTCATGCGGGGCAGGAGTTGTGCCAGATTCTGCGTCTGAGCTTGTTAGCCTGTGGTGTGATTCTTGGCACATTAAATGTATCGTGGCCTGCATTCCAGGTTTCACTGTCTGGGCACTGAGGGAAGGCGGCCGCCTTGTTGGAATGTGCACTCCTGTCCCGACCTGGGAAGCTGTTACTCGAGCACTTTCCCTCTCTCTTTGGGAACTTCCCCAGACCTTCCTCTCCGATAACAATCAGGTCTGGCCGTACCCTCGGGATCTTGCGGACGTCACAAGGAAGTGCGTTAGTGTGGGATACGATTCGCCCGAGGGCGTTTCGCAACTGCTGCGTCACTGCACAGCATCCTATCCCAGCCCACCGCCTTCTCCACCTGCCTATCCTTCCGCTGCTCTTGGCTTAGCTTGGTTTAGTAAGGGTAAGCCTTGGCTGGGGTTTCTATTCTTTGCTATGCAAGCGGGATCTGTGCAGCTCGCGATTACGTCAACTGCCCTCACTTCACGAGTGGGAGCCGATGATCCTCTGCTTCCTCGGCGAGACTTCACGCGGACCTGCACCCTCTCCTGGACACATGAGCTAGGGCGCCAGACTTATGGCTTTGCTGTTGCCGCCCCTCAACTCGGCGCCTATGTGGAATGCACCTCACCGTGGCCTGAGGTTCAAATCCATCTGTGGTTGCCGGGCCAAGGCCCGGTTCACATGCGAGTCGGTGCCCGCCACATGGACATGCACCTCAGTGCCTATTTGGGTGCTTTCTTGCCCGATTGCGAATACGGTCTTCATGTTGCGTACGACTCCAACCCTCAGGTCCTAGACCTGATCGTCGCGCCTCCTTCTCCTGTGGCGTGGTGGATCCTGAGGGACTCTATCGGGTGCGAGTTGCTCCGGCCGGTCATCCAGCACTACACTTCGCATTGCTCCTTCTTCTTCTGCACAGTTGAGCCCGATGGCGTTGTTCTTAGTGTTGAGCCCTCAGCCGAAGTCCGACAAATGTCTCCGAGCCCGCATGGAGCTAGAGCTTTGATCTCGCGTGCCCTGCCCGGCCTCATAGGTCAGGTGATCGATGGCACGCTGCTGATTGTTGCAGCTAAAGCAGGGCCTTCGTTTCCTGGTTGCCTGGCAGTGCTCTTGTTCACCTATCATGCGGCTGCGATGCAGCCACCGCAGGCGCATCAATTAGTACCGGTCGCTGAGGTTGCTCCCACACCGTCCACCATGCGCATCTGGACCTTAAATGTGCCGCAGCCAGTCGACCTGCCTTGGCGTCGCAAGGATATCAGACCCGCTGGCTCCGTGAGTTGATGTGCCGTCTCCACCATATTCCGGATCCGGGGGAGTTCCGTTCCACTCACTCCCAGCAAGGGGGTACTGTTCAGCATGTTCTTTTTGTGCCTGTCGTGCCTCCAACCCTTCCTACGGCCAGGTTCTGGCTCCTCCATTGGGGCGCCGCGGCGGTCGTTACCTTCGGCCACTCGCCCTTTAATTGGGAGGTTGTTTCCGCTCACCTCCGCACTCTGTTTCAAGGTGGCCAACTGCCGGAGCGGTGCCCAACACTTGCCTATGCTGGCCAGTTTTATGCCCCTGGCACAGTTCTGCCGGATTTCCCCTCGGGTGCTATTATCCAGATTTTAGTTGGGGCCCTGGAGCGGCTTCCTGGGGACGATGACCCCTGGAACCCGGAGCCTTTTGTTGTCGAAAGCCCTTACTTTCGTCATATCCCCAGTCGCGGTCCTGCGCTTGAACCGGCCATTGTTCTGGATGGTCATGGCCACAGGGTGGCTGCTGGAGCTCTGCAAACTCCTCTGGTCGATCAAGGTGTTCAAACAGACCTTTCCGGCAATGGCACTGGCCTTGATCATGCCACTGTCTCCAGGGTGCATCACCTCTCCCAGGAGCTCTCGTTCCACACTGCTCGGCTCTGGGCCGGCCTCGCCGAACCTGATGCCGAGCCGGCAGGCGATAATCCACCGGTCCTGAGACTCTCCTCCCAGAGTGCATGCGCGGCCGATACCTCTACGGCCGATCTTTTGGATCTCAGCGATGCATCAGGCTCTCAGGCTATGTGCGGACTGCCGTGGGTCGCTTTGCTGTTTCTCGGCGTTCAGGTACCTCGCGCCCTTGGGGCGGTTGGGAGTCTCCTTGCCCTTGCTACCCTCAGCTCGGGGTCAATCATTACCCCACCGCAGGCTAGCTCTGAGGAAGAGCAGGTTAATGATACTGCCCCTCCGGCTGTGCAGGCCATTAATATGTCAGCGGCGGACTGGGCCCCCGCACCCGTTGTGCGACCAGCCGGCCCTCCCCCGCCAGAGCCGGTGAATGCTCCCTTCCAACCTCACATGCTGTTTCTTCGCGCGGCGCGGCCACTTGAGGACTATGCCTTGAGACAATGGCCCTCAACGGCCGATAGGGAACCTGCAGCCGATGAAGACACGGTGCGGAGAGTCCAGGCTGACCTCCAAGGCCTTCGGTGCGGGATCCGAACACTTGCAGCCGCGATCCCACTTGGCACGCCCTTTTGCATCCATAATCCGTTTACAGCACGGCAGCAGTGTGAGATTGTCGAGTATTCAGCGGGCCCTGAAATTAACCCCTTCGTCCTCTTCGCGGGTCATGCTAGAGGCCGCGGCTGGGCAGGTTTGGTGCTCCTCCAGCCCCAGCCCGATGCCAGAGCAGTTCATCTCATTGGCTGCCCTCAGGCGCCCGGTAACGTAGCTGTAGGGGTTGCTATTGAGCACCGCTTAATTCCCTGCTGCCTCCCCGCGACTGTTGATATCGCTGCCCTCAGGGCCCTGCGCTTGGATGGCACTGAATATGACCTTCGGCCGCCTGAGGTACAGGAAGGTACACAGGTTGTCCAGTTTAGGAACGGCGATTGCCTCTCAGCTCGGCGGCATGTTCCCCATCGGTCCCTCCAAGGCCAAGCTAGCAGGGACCCTACTTCTGCCAGAGGAACGGCGAGTGCGGGCGAGCGCGAGGGCAGCCCCGCTGACGAGTCCTCAGCCATCGCTGCTTCACCATCCCTCTGGGTCCCTCTTTTACCCATGCTGGCTCTTCGCAGCCGCCCTGGCTCTGCCTGGCTTGTTGCCGCCATTCTACCCAGCCTGGTCCAGAGTATGCACAGACCTGGCGGTTTCCCATGGGGGACCGACTCGGTGAACCGTGTATTCTCAGGGATAACTGCCGAGGATCCAGTTTACGTAGTCCTGCATAGTCCCTTCTTAGGGGTTTTCCCTCCCTACACGGCATCTCAGGAGACTCCCCACTCGCAAGTCTGGGCGCAGTTCCGCAATGATGACCCGGGTTGGGCTGAAGACTTCTTCCCCGTTTGGCCGGGGCCGGCATTCAATGAACTGTCCATCGTCCCGATTGGACGTGATCCAGCTCTGGTCACCTTGATGCTCATCTGGCGGGGCCACCACCGGGCCACAATTGTTCCCCGCACGATGACCGTGGACTGGATTACGTCCTTCACGGCCAGACATATCAACAGTGCTGTCGGGGGTGTGTCTCTTCCCCACGGGCTTGCCGTCTGCGAACTTTTTGATGTTCCACCTGCCGCGTTTAGGTTCCGCAACGGGGACGTCGTGTATGTACATGATCCACCGGATGACCCCGATGAGCCACTTGAACTAGTGGAGCCCTGGCATCTACAGGATGGCCTGGCCGCACATCACGCCCCTCGGGCGGTCGGATTTCAGCTTATGTTCCCGATTTCAGTCCATTTGCTGCGACCTGAAAAACCGCCCTTGCTCACCACCATACCGGCTGGCGAATCTTGGTGCCCTGAAGCGTTCTCCTTTTCAGGTGAGTTCCGGCACCATTTTCCGGGCATGTGGACACCTGTCCAATGGACGAGTGCCCGCGCCCTGCAGCTTATGGAGGTCAACGGGGTTGCCGCCCGAGTCAATGTTGTCGCGGCCACGCCAGAGGGCCGACTATGCCGTACTGTCGATCGCATTGCCTCCCGGCACAGCGTTGCTGACCAGCTCCACTTCTGCCCAGATTCGATACAGGTTGGCGGCGTGCCTGCCTATGCCTTGGAACAGGCCTGCGAACTCAGGAACGGTGATGTGGTGTTTGGGGCATTCGACCGGAGTGCATGCCCTCGTGGCCCAGGCTCACCGAGCTGGTGGCTCGGTGTGGCCCTCTCCGCCTTGCATCTGAACCAGCAGCGGCAGATGCGACTGCCTCTCCTTGTGGGTTGTACCCTTTCCTATCACGCCGGTCTCAGAGGCCAACATGCCATTACTCCTTTTCACGAGCCTCACACTGCCGCTGCACCTAGCTGCCAGACCCTAGTCGGAGGGTCCTTCTGCTCTGCTGATGAGGATCCTCCCTGGAGTGGCATTGACCTGGGCTACACCCCATCTGCCATGGGGGGCCCACAGTCTTGGTGGCGGGGCTCTCTTTGCCGCCCCATCCTTCCTGGTGTCTCGGCCGCCCTCCTGTTTTCCGGCCTACGCGGCATGGCCCTCCTGACTGCCACCGCGTGTATCCCTGCTTCTAGAGCCATGCTTCAACAAGCGTCCGCCTCGTCAGCCACAGTCCCGGCTGCTGCAGCTCCTCGCGTCATTGTTACGGTTGCTAACCCTTTTGCCCCTTGGAATCGGGTTGAAGCTGACCCGCGCAACCTCTTCGACGATGTCGTTGCCGATGCGCATCACACTTTAGCATCTTGGCATCAGGGTTTTGCGGCTACGGGACTTGTCTTGGACAGCACCCAGGTTGTTGTTCCCTTACCCGGGCGCCGTCTGGTCTGCTTGTTGGTGCAAGGCATGGGTCAGCTGCTGTGCGTTATCCTGCCAGCCTTCATGACCCCGCGGGATCTTACGCAAGCCATTCAAATGCGACTTGGCAAACGAGTCTGCGTCAGCCTGTCACCTGGACTGGCGGCTACTGTCCGTGCCAGCCGTCCGGTCCTTGCTCTGAGATCTGGGGATATTATTGCTATCAGCCCACTTCGACCCACTTGCCGGGCCGCGGAACCCACCTGTCTTTCTAACATGGGGGGCTGCCCATTCTGCGGCTGCGTGGCACTCAGACTTTCTCGTTGCTCAGGCCTCCTGTGTCCTTCTGTGGTCACCGGGCCGCCCTACTCGAGTCGCCCTTCTAAGGCATCAAGCCCGATGGATCGCCGCTGCTGCTACGGTGCATAACCATGAACAGGAGCTCGGAACCCACCGCTGGGCGCCCTGCCATGGTCACCTCGGCGCGCCACCTTGGCTCGTTGAACAGTCTGAAGTGGCAGGCCGCGCTAATATTATCCAGTCCTGCGACTCCACTCGTTGCATTGAAGTGGAGCGCGACGCTTCTCATGACCTTCACATTTCAGGTTATACAGTTCGTCCTGCTTCAAGCCACGCCTGTCGCACTGCCACTGTGCGCGACGGCGACTGGTGGGTCCACTCAGCGGCCGTTGGGCTGCTCGGGCGCCATCTCTCCTTCCCGGCACAGCTTGCCTGGCTTCTCTACAGCCTTGCCGCCCATGCCTGGGCTGGTTCTTCGAGCTGCCCAAGTGTTGACTCCTCCGAGGCTCGAACCATCCGCGGGACGGTTCTTCCCTCCTCGAGTAGACCTTAATGATGGTGAGCCCTACGTTCCGCAGAGTGGCTGGCGACCTGACGCCCCAGACGGCCCACTCGCACGCTACTTTCCGGGGCCTCGGCCGCGGACTGCCAGAGTCCTTTGCCCCCTGCGGGGTTGGAGCGAGCTCTTGTTCATTAATCTGGCCGGCACCTGGCGGGAAGTTGAGCAGGAAGGTGCTCGGCACTGCGGTCTCTGGTCGCGCAGGTTCTTTCCGGTGCGTGCTGTGCTTCCCGTCTCGCAGCTCACTCTCGCTCCAGTGGCCCCCTATGGCCTCGCTACAGTTGTCTTTCACATGGAAAGTTGCTCAGCCGTGGCTTTAGCGTCTGTTGACTCCAGTTTGGTTGACCTCCAGCGGCTCGCCGCTCGGGTATTCACGCATGCTCGCTACTGGCGAGTGGTTGCGCCACCTGTGTTACGCGCGGCCAACCCGCACACCCATCTCAGGTTGCGTAATGGTGACGCCTTTAGTATTGTTCCTGAACAATCTCAGCCAGAGGCCACCCGCTTCCCTTTGCTTCAGTATCCCTCCCTCGAGCGGGCCCGACAAGTTGCCAGCTGGTCTCTTCCTTTTCGGTTTGACTCTGGTGGGCCAGTAGTTCTCTGGTTTTCTAATCGCCGGCAAGGGCACTACATAAGGATTAGGGACACGGGCTACTGGGACCCTGAAGGTCCCACCTTTTGGAGCCTTAACGGGGAGGCTTTGTCAGGTTCATGGGTCCCGGTTCTAACGGGTGACCTGTCGAGTCTTCACTTGGTGCACCAAGCTTCCGTTGGTGAGGCGCACGTTCTCTTCCTTCTGCCGCCGGACCTCATGCCACAGGGCCGGCGGCTCGCGGGCTGCAATGCTTACCGTGCCCCTCCAGGGTGGCGACTTCTGCCCGCTCTGCAATATGTTCGCGCTGACAGCCCTCTTCGAGACGGCGATGTGTTAGTCATCGACCCAGACGCCAGCGTGGTGTGGGACCCCTTCGGCCCTCTTCCCTCTGCGGCTGCAGAGGAGTCTCATTATGATTGGCCCTCCTGCTCGTCGCCTTCTGGGATACGAGGGGCCGGTTGGCTTGCCTTTCTTGCGGTCGCTGCTCGATGGCCCCGTTGGCTTACTCTTGCTCTCCTTTCTCATTACGTGTGTGGCATGGTCCCGGTCCTGGAGGTGCCGGATAGGCCCATTCGCACAGGCCTGTACCCATGGCGAGCCAAGTCCGGTGAGGAGGATCTTGTTGACCTCTCTCCTGGCACTGAGATTGACGTTGTGTATCTCAGCCCTTTCACTGGTCCGCGGGAAGCTGGACGTCTCCCCACTGTGTCCACACTTGAGGATCTGAGCTCGCTTGCGCGGGCGTGCGACCCTGAATGGGCTGCTGATGTTGCGCCGGTGTGGCCCACAGCGGCCATCCCTGCCCTGCTTGTTGTGCCCCGGCCCCTCTCTCTCGATATTGTGTGTCTCGCCATATCGTCCTTGGATCAACACTTTTCCATGCTGACTCCGTGTGTCACTTCAGTGTCATGGCTCAGTTTTGCTCTACGTTTTCTGCAGCCTATGCAGACCCTGTCCGTGCGAGCTCCCAGCCCTCTCACTGCTGAGGCCACCACGGATCAAAATGTTAGATGGCGCTCAGGGGACCTCGTTGTTGCTCTTCCGCCCGCCGCCTTTGTGCCTGAGTATCAACCGCCCTGCTTCCACTCTGACACTCAAGTCCGTCATTGTGCCATATGGTCGGTTGATTTTTCAGTTTCCTTTAGAGCGAACTTCGTTCTGTGGCAACCGGGCGTCAGGGCCGTTAGGGGACATGCCCCCGCAGGAGCTCGCTGGCAGGCACTCGACTTCACCTTCGAAGGGGAATTCCGCCAACATTACCCCGGTCGCTGGGTGCCCGTCCCCTGGATTGCCCAGGACCACACGCATCTCGTCCTGCTCCCTGAGGACCCATCCCGTGCCAATGTGGTGGTGGAAGCGGATGGTCAATGCTGGTGCGCCTCCATCACTGCTGTCACAGATGCGTGGCAACTGTGGACTGAACTGCCGACTGTTTCCGGTCAACCTCGGGTCCTCGGTGTTTCTCATCACGAGCTTAGGCAGGGAACTACCCTACGCAGTGGCGATGTGGTTTCCGAGGCCTCCGGACGCTTTGCACCTTGGGTCGTTTTCAGCTTGATCGGGGTGTCTGGGTGGCGTACTGCCGGGCCTAGCGCTGTTCTCCTCGCTATTGGTCTCGCTTTGGGACATCCTGTCTGGGCTACTCGCTACACTGGCGCTGCCCCGAGCTCCTCTCTGGACCTGTACGCAGAGGGCCCTCTTTTGCCAGACTGTTACCCTACCTGCCATCGGCTGTGGGATCCTGCTTGTGGGGTCCTTGGACCCTTCCGTGGAGCTTCTTTGGAGCCTCCCGTCGCTCTTCGAGATGCTGCTCCCGCATGGTCATCCTTTACCCGGGTTCACCCTCCACAGGACCCTCGCCTTGTTGACTGGGTTCCGGTGCCCTCTGACCCGATGTTCGCCACCGTCCTTCTTCAGTGCCCACCTGCCACCCGGGCTGCTTTCCTTCCAGCTACGTGCGCCGCTGCCGATTTGCTCCGAGCCTGCAATCGAATTGTCCGGGACCTGTCTCTCATCTTGGCACCCCCCGAAATTTGGTGTGGGACAGCTACCTCACCGAACCCAACTCTTTTTCTCCGGTCCGGCGACGTTCTCACTCTCGCTGGAGAGACCTGGGCTCCTCGCCTCCGCTCGCCGGCTGGGCGTTACTGGGACACGCTGCTCCAGGCGCGTCACTTCGCCTTCTGGGGAAGCCCTTTCAGCATACGCCAACCTGGGCTCCTGTTTGCCTGGTCACCCGGTGACCCAGTCCCACTCACTGTGCCCACGGTCCGTGACGAACAATGGGACCCCGTGCACTGCACCTTTCGGCCCTCCCTTGCCCGCTTCAGTGTCACTCGATGGATTCCTGCACAGCGGCTTGATGACCTTGGTCTTCACCTTGTCCCTGAGAGCCCGAACCTGCACCGTGCACATGTTCTTCCCGCACAGCCTCCAGGTCGTTCCGCGACAAGGGGCGAGTGGCCTGCTGCGTGACGGTCGACCAACCCCGTCCCTTCTCCTTCCCCACCTTTTAGTTGGGGGTCTGCTCCCGGGATCTCTCCGGCGGCTTTGGCTTGCGGCCCTTGGTCTCGGGCTCCTGGCAAGCTACGGCCCGCCGGCCGTCCCAGCTCACCCGCTCTTTCCCCGTGCAGGGGCCCTCTCAGGAGACTGCCATGCTCCCACGTTTGATTTTGGCCTCCTGTTCCGTACCAGCTGCTATCTCCGCGCTCGGGGCGCGCCTGTTTGGAGCAGCACTGATGGCATCTCGTGGTCGGCCGATGTTCATGAGGAATGCGTCGCCCAGGCGTCCATACACCAACTTTGGTGGTCTCATGAGCTTTACCCGTTTCTTCCCGCATCCGCCCCTCCACCATACCGTCAGGCTTTCTGCAACTTCCCGCTCTGGCACGGTGGAGTGCCTGACCAGGTCTTCATTGCCACTGACGGCAGCGGCGAACATGGAGGGGCATGGGCCTTTTGTGTGTGGGCTTGGTGGCGCCATCGATGGTACCGCGTCGGTTGGTTTGGGGCCTCTGGCTATCAGCTCCCCTGGACCCCCGACCTGCCGCCCTCGGCAGGCGGCCTCTCCTTCCACACTGAACTCTCGGCCTTACAGGCTGCCGGACTCTGGCTTATTGCCTGGGTTGACCGCCTGTCCCTTCTCACAGCCTCTGCCCCTACCAAGGTTACTGTTGCGGTCGATAACGCTGCGGCACTTCAAATCGCAGCAGGGCAGGCCCAAGCCGCAGCACCTGCCACCACCACCACTCGGTATGTTTGGCAGGCCGTCCAAGCTCGGCTCTCCACACGGTTCCAACATGTCCATAGCCATGTCGGAGTGCTCCCAAACACCTTCGCGGACTTCCTTGCCGGCTGGTCGGGTCGAGTCTCCTGGCAACCGTGGAAACAGCTTGACCCCTCGCTACCCACCCTCATGCAGAACGCGGCTCCGTGGCTCTGGGTCATCCCGCATGCTCGTGTCGTTGAGGGTCGGCCGTGTATTTGTTTGGTCTCTCAGACCATTTCATGTGCCCCTGCTACTGAGGCTGGTGACGTGCTCCCTCCTGCCGACGATACCTTGACATCCACTGAGGCCGCTGTTCCACCGGGCCGTCCACCTGCCGATTCTCCCATCCCTTTGCGCTTGGTCACAGCCAATGTTCAAACGATGCGCGACTCCAACGCTTCATTTTTCAATCCCTCAGGGCATGGTCAGCGGCGCCAGTACCTTTACTCCCAGGTTGCTACCTTAGGCCTCGACGTTGTCTGCCTGCAAGAAACTCGCAGCAAGGGTGGCCGTTGGGACACAGCCGGCCTCCTCACATGGCGCTCTGGCGCGCAGAAAGGGAGCTATGGTTGTGAAATCTGGATAAGGCCTGGCATTACCAATCCGCCCTTGCGGCTCGATGACTGGCGCATCGCTAGTGCTGACCCTCGTCTTCTCGTTATTGTCAGCAAGCGTGAGGACTTACCTATTGCTGTCATCGCCGCCCATGCCCCCCACGCTGAGCGGCCTGCTTCTGAGATTCACCACTTTTGGTCTTCGTTGCACTCGTCCCTGTGCCAGCTGCCCCGGGCCCTGTCTCTTGTTCTCGGCCTGGATGCTAACGCTGACCTCCTTTGGGCGGACGAAGACCATGCCTATATAGGCGACTGTCTGGGCAACAGTGAGGAGGGTGCTGGCGAGCAAGGTCTTTTTGACACCATCCAGCGCTTCGGTCTTCTTGCACCAGCTTCTTTCTCCGCCATCCAACAGGGCCCGGGCTGGTCCTGGGAGCACACGGGCGGTACTCGGAAGCGGCTTGACCACCTCCTGCTTCAGGCGGGTCCATGGCAGTGCACCCGAGCCCGGCAACTTCCCGAGCTGGACATTCTCAACGGCCGCAGAGATCATATGCCTCTCCTCGTTGAATGCTGTCTTAAACGACAGGCGACACTGGCCAGACCCCCCGGGGCATCCAACCGAGCTACCGCCCAGCAAGCACAGCTTATTGCTGCTAGCCTTTGGTGCGAGCTCCCATCTCCCGTGCGCAGCATCGCTGAGGTTGGACAGGAGATCCGGGATCTCAAGGCTAGGCACCTCCGCCTCTTGAAGGCCCTCCCGCGAGCTCCTCGGCGGCCTGCCCGCCAGCCCTACATCACTGCTGAGTCTGTCGCCGCCCTGGATGTTGTGCGGCAGGCTCGCGAGCAACTCCCGCGCCTCCGCAATAATGTCGAATGGCAGAAACGGCGCTTTCTTCTACTCGTGTGGCGCTGGAGTTGCGCCAGGGGACGATCCGACACTGTTGTCCCTCGCCCAGACCCCACCGGGCTTCAACATGCCAGGTTGCTGTTACAGGCCTGTAATCTGCACATCCGGGGTCTGCAGCAGAAGGCACACTATCTAGCCCGTTCTGATAAGCTTGCCCATTTCCGCACCCTTACCCTTGCTGCCACCCAGCATTGGGAATCCACAGGCATTCCTTTGGAATCTATCCGGCATCTTCGATGGGCCTCTCGTAAGGCCCATGACCGTCGGGCTGTGCACGCCGCTGGCGGTTTCGACATCGACCGTGAGCTTGAAGCACAATTTCGTGACCAGGAAGGCGCCCGCCTCGTCTCTCCTGCACAGCTCTCACAAACAGCCGAGCAGTGGCTCTCTGTCGATGCCACTCGCTCCCCGTGCCTCGAGGCAGTTCCTTCACTGCTCCAAATGGAGCAAATGTGCATCCGACAGGCACCAGCTAAGGCACCAGGACCTGATGGCCTGCGGAACGAGCTTTGGCGGGAACATGGAGCCCTTGCCGGTCAATGGCTTTGGCCACTCTGCACCCGCATTGCGCTTCAGGGCCGAGAACCCTTCGATTTCAAGAAAGCCATCGTCTGCGCCCTCTACAAAAAGGGCCCGGCATCAGTGCCTGCCAACTACCGTTCCATCGCCCTCCTTAACGGCATCGCTAAGCTGTGGCACTCACACCTCCGCACCACGGTCGGTGGACATGTGCTGTCTCGTTATGAGCCCATGCAGCTAGGAGGGCGCCGTGGCGTCCACACTGGGTTTGCACTGGCCGCTTTCCGATGCGCCTGGGACCTTTCCGTCGCTGCGGGGCGGTGCGTTGCTGTTGTCTTTGTCGACATCCAAGCTGCTTACTATGAGGCTAGCCGAGATCTTCTTTTCGATGGCTTCCCTGACGATGTCGATGTCCCGGAGCACCATCACCTTGCTGGACTTGTGCTCCAGCTTCATGGTCAGGGGGCTCTCTCCGCTCTTGGCGTTGCTGAGGATGTCAGCGCGCTCCTTCGGGATTGTGTTGCCCTATCCCACTGGTCGCTCTCCGGGTCGGACAACATTTTCCTGGCCTCCCGAGGCTCCCGTCCCGGAGACGGCCTAGCTGACGTCCTGTTCGGCGCCCTATTTGCCATCGGGCTGCAACACATCCAGCGCACTGCTTGTTCCATGGGCATCTCGCACACCAGTGCCGGGGTCGAGATCGGCCTTGAGCCAGGCGTCAAGCCGATTGGCTGGGCTGACGACCTTGCCGTCCTCGCGGACTTTGATAGTCCTGCCGAGCTCCAAACACAGCTCCCCCAACTCACCGGTGTCATTCTTGACACCCTCCGGTGCTTGCGGTTCCGGGTCAACCTTGGGGCAGGCAAAACCGAGGCCCTTGTCGATATTAGGGGAGACGGCGCACGCGCTGCACGCGGCGCCTTGCTCAGCGGCGACGCCCTTTTGGAAGTTTCCAAAGGTGACAGCATTCGCCTTTGCCCTGAGTACAAATACTTGGGTGTAGCCCAATTGCCTCGAGACACCGGCAGGCGTGACTGCGAGCTGTCGGCACAGCGGGGGTCAGCGGCGGCGTCTGTTGCCCGAACCCTGCTTTGCAGCAATTGTCTGCCTTGGGAACTGAAACGAGCCTGGATTACCGGCCGCGTTCTCCCCTCAGCTTACTCCTCCTTGGCCTTCTCGCGCGCTGACTCCGCCCGGGCTGCTGCGCCATTGGCTGGACTCTTTGAACGCACAGCTAGGATCCTGTTGTCATCCTGGCAAGTCGGTCACAAACTTACCACCCCTTTGCTTCGGCTTCTTGCTGATATCACCCCTCCTGACCTTGCTACCACCGTTAGCCAGTGCCGCCTTTGCGTGCAACTTTTCTGCAAGGCTCCTGTTGCTGTCAGGGAAATTGTCGATGCTGCGTGGAACCGGGCAATCCCTTGGTGTCAGGCCCTCGTCCTTGCCTGTTTGCGAGTGGGAGTCGCCTTAGACTCCTGGGACCCCGCCGCTCCCCCCTCCATCACTGTCCTGTTCGTTCAGCAGAACGGACGCGCTCTCCTTCGAGCGTGCAAGGCTCTGAGCAAATTTGGGCACAGATACGCTGCCTGCGCACAGCTTTGGGCGGATCTGGCCTCCCGTCGCACCACCAAGATCCTAGGTGCGCCACAATCCCACAGTTGCCCGGTCTGTCGAGGAGTTTTCCCGAGCCTTCATGCAGTACGAGCTCACATGCATCGGAAACACGGCGTCCTGTCTGATGTGACTGCCTATATGGCGGGCTCGGTTTGTCTTTGGTGTATGCGAGACTTCCAATCCTCGGATCGACTGAAGCACCACCTTCAAACGCAGCGCTCCTGCCTGCACGGCCTGCGCGTTACAGTCGGCCCTGCTTACCAGTACGGTTCGGGCACAAAACGTTCGGGTCGCGCCAGCCACCGGGGAGTCCCTCCGCAGCGCATCTGCGGGCCTTGCAATGCCACCCCAGCGCAGAGACGGGCGGCCGACCTTGGGGTGCCGGCCGATGATGCTGCCCTGCAAGCTGAGTGGGACGCTGTTCAACGCCCCCCTGCCCTCTCGGACCTTGTCCCCGGCAACCTGCATCGTCCTTCTCCCTTGTCGCCTTCCGACGATGTTTTCGGCGCACAGCAGGCTTGCCATATCTCCGCTGCACGCGGTTCCTCCCCCACGTCCCTTGCCTCCCCGCATTCCCGCTCGGCCACTGTCGATGTGGCCTCTCCTGCGCAACACCCTTTGCAATGGTTCTCCGTTGTGGAAGGGGCTGCTGGCTGTGACGACTGGGCTCTTCCCTCGCCCTGGTGGCCTGGGCTTCTTGGCCTTGGAGGTGTTTTTCAGCTTCCCTCCTCCTGGCACCGGCTCTGGCCTATGTGGTCCGCGCTCGAGTTCTTCGAACCTTGGGAGCATCGGGCCATCCGTCGCTTTGGTGCTCTGCGCTCCGCCTCTTCGTGTGGGTTGGGCGCAGCAGCCACCCTTGCTGATGCCACTGCTGGCAAGTGGTCTCTTTTGGAGTTGGCCGCTGCCACGGTATCCTTCCGTATGATCTGCAAGGCTGTCCTACGCAGCGGTGCCCTCTGGCTTTGGGGCGCCCCAGCAATTCGGGTCTTGCCCTGCTGCGCCGCCTGCTCCCGGCGGCCTTCTTCTTGGACTTCCTTTCGCCGAGGGGACGGGTCTTCCTTGTCGCTAGCTCTGCTTCCTTGGCCTCCCTTGTGCGTGCAGTCATTGCTCGCCCTGCCTGCTCGGCCCCGGCCTCGCTTCCTTTGCGAGCTTTCTGGGCCTATCCGGCAGCATGACTCGCCGCCCCTGTTCAGTGTTTTCCTTCCATTTCTGGCCGCGTGACTACAGCAGTCACGCTTTTGGGCCCTTGCACGCTGTAGTTAGCACAGGACGTCCTCTTGCGCGTGAGTGAGTGAGTGAGTTCGGGTGTGAAGACTTGGAAGTTTGTCCAGGGTTTATCGGAGGCCTCACAAGGTGGGATGAAGCTAGGTGGGATTAAGGATCCCTTATATTCAAAGGGTACAAGGAGGGACACCTAATAAGGACCCCTAGGTATATACCCATAATATAGCCTTATATACCCATTATATAGCACATTATAGGGTAGGGGTCCCCATTAAGGGTCCCTCCTTTTCCCAATTGATATATAATATAAGGACTCTTATTTGGGAATATCCCACCTACCTTCATCCTACCTTTTGAGGCCCTCGGCTTGAGGGACCATTTCTGCCTAAACCCTAAACCCTAAAGTTTCCAGCACGATATCCATCAGCCCTGCTGGAATTGTCAAGGCCTCTATGCTGAGTCCTTCGTAACCCTTATAGTAGCCCCCATAGGCCCCTTTAACCAGGAGCCTTATTTTAAGTGCCAGCTTCAAACCCAAATCCTAAACCCTAAACACATTATAACCTTCGACGCTTAATCCCAAACTGTTCTAATTCTTAAGACACTACCCCCGAACTGCAGGCGCGCGCCGTCTGAGGAAAGTCCGACAGCGCCGACGTTAAGAGGCCGCCTACCCGGTAAGGGTTTTGGGTTTATTTAGGGTTCAGGGCATGGGTCTATAGGGTTTAGGGTTTAGGGTTTAAGGTTTAGGGTTTAGGGTCTATAGGGTTTAGGGTCTATAGGGTTTAGGGTTTAGGGTTTAGGGTTTAGGGTTTAAGGTTTAGGGTATAGGAGCTTAGGGTTTAGAGTATAGGCATACTTAAAGGGTCATGGGACTAAGTAACTGGGGTTATAATTAGGGTAACTATATTTATAATCACTTATAACCCCAATTAAGGTACTTATAACCATACTTACAAAGTCCCATGATCCTTTAAGTAGGGGTTCAGCAGGGTTTGCGGTTCAGGGCCTTGGGGTCTGTAGGGTCTATGGGTTGGGTTTAGGGTTTAGGGTTTAAGGTTTAGGGTTTAGGGTTTAGGGTTTAAGGTTTAGGGTTTAGGGTTTAGGGTTTAAGGTTTAGGGTTTAGGGTTTAGGGTTTAAGGTTTAAGGTTTAGGGTTTAGGCATGTCCTTGAGATTGCATGTTCCGAACCCAAGTCTTTGGGGGTATATAGGGGCGTGTAAGGCTTTAGGGTTGAAGCGTTTGGCCAGCGCACTCCCTAAACCCTAACCCTAAACCCTAAACCCTATAACCCTAAATCCTCTAAGCCCTATAACCCTAAACCCTAAACCCTAAAACCCTAAACCCTCTAAACCCTACAACCTTAAACCCTAAACCCTAAACCGTGGATCTACATGCACAACCCTTGTCTGATCCAAGCCCACCCAAGATTCCGAAATCAATCCGCGCGGAACAGGTTTCCTGAAACCCTAAACTTTGAATCCTAAACCCTAGATACTAATGTAGGGGCCTTAATAATTGGCAAAGGGTTTTGGCGGCTCCTTGTTATAATTGCAGTTTTATATACCCCCAAACCCTGCTCTAATTAACAAGGCCCCTGTATTAGACCCTACCTTAACCCCAATAACCTTCCTTTCGGACTTATATAAGGAAAACACACTAGGGAACCCTAAAAAGGACGGTTTTATAGGGTCCAGGTATAGTCCAGGTATAGTCTCAAAACCCCAAGCCCTTACCCCTAAACCCAAAACCCCAGGCGTTAACCCTGAACCCTAAACCCCATCCAAGGCTTGCAAATGACTTTCTGAAGTTTGTTGGGGGGATAGTCGTAAGCGCAGGAAGAATAACATGCCAGCGGGACGACGCGGTCGGCATCGAATGGTCCAAGGCAGTGCAGCTTAGACTCTTCGACAAAAAACATGACATGAATATGATATTATGTGAACGATGTGAGTCTGAGTGAAACTTTTCGAGCCCGGCGCCGAAGATTCTGTGAATGATGTGATTCTGGGTGATGCGCAGGCATCGCACAGCCTAAATTCCTAAATCCAAAACCAAACCCGAACGCCCAAAAACCGGAAACCCAGATATCCTTAACCCGAACCCCTAAACCCTGATATCCTTAACCCTTAATTCACTCCGAACCCTAAACCCCGGTATCCTTAGAGTGGAAGACCTAAACTCCGGCCTCCGCCGAGCGGCATGGGCCCGGGATCACCCCTGAGCCCCCGGGGGGGGCGGAGCGCCCCAGAGCCGAGATTGCGCTGCGTCGGCCGGTGAAGCGTGCACTTTCAGTTTAGGGCTTAAGGTGTGGGGTTCAGGGTTTAGGGGGTCCTAGAATTGGTAGTCTACCAGAAAGGTTGCTGGGAGGATTTCGACACTCCTCCTGTGGCGTTTAAGGGGTCTGGGACTCCACAAGACCTGGGGGTGCCCTCTTTACTTCTACAGAAAAGGATCCTCGCGTGTAGTTTTATAGGTCATAGCCCTGTTTTCTGAAACTCTCATGTCGATACTAAGCCTTACTAAGCATTAAGGCTTGCGGATGTGGGGCTTGGGGTTCAGGCTTCAGGATTTCGGTGGAAGTGGGGCTAAAGTAACAGACAGCACTGCCACTCGTGCTTATGACACGGCAAAGGTGACAACGGCAAAAGCGGTGACTGAGCTCATCTAGGTTCCTGAGTAGCCCCGACATAAACCCTCTCCATCAGGTCCCTGTTTTAGAAAGCCAGAAGTACTCTACTCCCCTTGGAAGGTAAGCAAAAAACTACTTTTTTCGGAGACCCCTATAAAAGAAGACCGGAACCAAAAAAGGAACAAAGTAACAAAGTCTCCAAGAGCCTTAAGGAGTAGTTATAGGATCCTTAAGGGGGGGTGGTTCAAGGGGGGAGGGTACTAGGGAGCTTTGGGGAACCTTAGGGAAGCTTAGGGAGTATTGGGGAATAATGGGGATTACTAGGTTACCTACCCTTCTTGGACCACCCCCCCTTAAGGACATCCTAAAGTAGGGTTAAGAAGGCTCAGCTTGAAGGGGTCTCCCTTATTCTACCGAGAGGGACCCTTACTCAAAAGAACCAAACCCGAAAACCCCAAAACCCTAAACCCCTAAGCCCCAAACCCTAAACCCCAAACCGTAAACCCCAAACCGTAAACACAAACCCTACACCCCAAACCTAAACCCTAAGCCCCAAACCCTAAACCCTAAGCCCTAAACTCAAAACCCTCAATCCCAAAACCCTAAACCACAAACCCTAAACCCTAAACCCTTACAGGAACCTATTTAGGAACCCTAAACCCTTACAGGAACCTATTTAGGAACCCCAAAAGAAGGTGCCTCCTCAGTGAGCCTCGGCCTTTCGAAGAGCGCGGCGGCCAGGCCGCCATCGCCTGCGGCCTGGGGATGTCTGCTTCAGGGTTGCTTGGAGGGTCGAGGGACTTAGTAAGTAGTTGTTATATAGACTTTTAAGTACCTTAATAGGGACCCTAATTGGGGTTATGGTACATATAACTTTGTAAAACAACTACTTACTAAGTCCCCCGACCCTCCAAGTGAGGGTGTAGGGTTTGGTTTAGGGTTTCTTTTAAGTGCAATGAAAGGGTTGAGGGTTTAGGGTTTAGGGTATGACCCCTTGGGTTGAAGGTTGAGGGTTTAGGGTTTACTTTGAGGTTCATGGGTAGTTATAAGTGGGGTTATAAGTCCCCTAATAATGTGATTATAACTATAGTTATCCTACTTATAACCCCCTTATAACTACCCATGAACGTGCAAGTAGGGCCTAACTATAGGGTTTTTTTGAAGTGCATCGGACCTTTTCGGTGTTTAGGGCTTGAGGGTTTGGGGTTTAGGGTTTTTGTGTGCCTTGGATTGAGAGTTTTGAATTTAGGGTTTTGGGTTTGGCGCTTGGGGATTTAGGGTTTAGGGCTTTGGGCTTAGAGCTTAGGGTTTAGAGTTTGGGGGAATTTGTGTTTTGGGTTTAGGGGTGAAGGGATCTAAAGAGGTTCGAAAAGGGCTTAGGGCTCCTAAACGGGCTCCTACAAGCGCACCACGCTGTTTCTAGAAGGGTTCCTGCATGAAACGGGTTCCTTGCGTCATTTCAAAGGGATCCCTTGAAAAAATCTGCAAGGGCACTCGTGTTTAGGGTTTAGGGTTTAGGGTTTAGGGTAGGGTTTAGGGTTTAGGGTTTAGGGCACTGTGGGGGTTTGGGGATTACGGGCTTAGGGGTTTAGGGTTTCAAAACCTGCTTACCTCAGAAATAGTCCGTAACTTGCGAAGGTATCCCTTAAACCCTGATCAGCCATGAACGTTGCTATATGGATTTCTCATCCGCTCTTCTTTAGCCTCTTTGGGATTCTCGAAGGGTTCTATACCGGGTCTAGGAGAAAGGGTCCAAGGGTTGAGGTTGAGGGGCTATGTGGCGTGTCCATTTCGGGCTCGTGGTTTGCAGCTAGCTGGGCCATGCCCGTCCGACCATTTGGCCCCCCACCTCCTGAACTTGAGCACCTCTTCTTTTGGGGCACTCCGATCGATCAAGATGTTGGGGAGCCTTCCTTGTCCTTGCGGAAGCTGCCGATCCCGGCATCCTTGGGGTAGAATGAATTGAAACCTCAACCTGAAAAGCAGACAACCTGCTGTGAACAAACACATGCATGCAAAACCACATGTATAAGAACATGCATAAAGACATATGTATGTACATACATACGTTACTTGCCTACTTACAAACTGATTAGCTGATTGACTGATTAGTCGACCAACTGACTGATTGATGCATGTACTGCTTGCTTCCACAGTTGGTTCGTTCATACCTACAAGCAAACCGGCCACTGTACATGCACATAAAACGCAACTCGGATACACATAACCACAAGCCCTGTGTAAACCCTAGCCAAAAACCCTGAGCCCCAAATCCTTGAGTCTTTCAGCATAAACTGTAAACCGTCCGCCCTCCCGATAAACTTCAGCACCTCTGTGGGCGCCCAGGTGCTTGCCACCTGTTGCC